ACGCAAAGTCCACTTTCGCAGCTGGGGCTCGAAAATCGCGACTTTTTAGTACGAAAGTAGTACGCGAAGTCCACTTTCGTAGCTGGGGCTCGAAAATCGCAACTTTTAACTACGAAAGTAGTACGTGAAGTCCAGTTTCGCAGCTGGGGCTCGAAAATCGCAACTTTCGCAAGGTCAAGTACAAAATTCGTGGCAGGCGCATCACTTTCGCAAGGTCAAGTACAGAATTTGTGGCAGGCGCAGCACTTTCGCAAGGTCAAGTGCAAAATTCGTGGCACGCGCAGCACTTTCGCAAGGTCAAGTACAGATTTTGTGGCAGGCGCAGCGCTTTAGCAAGGTCAAGCACAGATTTGAAGCAGCCCGGGGCTCGAAAATCGCAACTTTTAAGTACGAAAGTAGTACGCGAAGTCAACTTTCGCAGCTGGGGCTTGAAAATCGCAACTTTTAAGTACGAAAGTAGTGCGCAAAGTCCACTTTCGCAGCCGGGGCTTGAAAATCGCAACTTTTAAGTACGAAAGTAGTACGCAAAGTCCACTTTCGCAGCTGGGGCTCGAAAATCGCGACTTTTTAGTACGAAAGTAGTACGCGAAGTCCACTTTCGTAGCTGGGGCTCGAAAATCGCAACTTTTAACTACGAAAGTAGTACGTGAAGTCCAGTTTCGCAGCTGGGGCTCGAAAATCGCAACTTTTAAGTACGAAAGTAGTACGCGAAGTCAACTTTCGGGGATTGAACATCGCAACTTTTAAGTGCAGAGAAAGATGGGTAGATAGATAGATCAATAAACAGATATAGAGATAGCTAGAGAAATAGATAGAAAGAGATAGAGAAACAGAGATAGACAGAGATAGACAGACAAATAACTAGCTAGATAGATAGAGATAGATAGATAGATAGAGATAGAGAGGTAGATAGATAGGTAGATCTATAGATAAATCGCAACTTTTAAGTACGAAAGTAGTACGCGAAGTCAACTTTCGCAGCTGGGGCTTGAAAATCGCAACTTTTAAGTACGAAAGTAGTGCGCAAAGTCCACTTTCGCAGCCGGGGCTTGAAAATCGCAACTTTTAAGTACGAAAGTAGTACGCGAAGTCCACTTTCGCAGCTGGGGCTCGAAAATCGCAACTTTTAAGTACGAAAGTAGTACGCAAGTCCACTTTCGCAGCTGGGGCTCGAAAATCGCAACTTTTAAGTACGAAAGTAGTACGCGAAGTCAACTTTCGGGGATTGAACATCGCAACTTTTAAGTGCAGAGAAAGATGGGTAGATAGATAGATCAATAAACAGATATAGAGATAGCTAGAGAGATAGATAGAAAGAGAGAGAAAGAGACAGAGAAACAGAAAGAGAAAGAGAAAGAGAAAGAGAGAAAGAGAGAAAGAGAGAAAAAGAGAGAGAGAGAAGAGAAGCAAGGGGCCAAGGACAGTTCTCCAAACTATAGTTGTTCACTGCTTTGAAACTTCCGCCCCCCGGCTCTGCCGGACCTTACTTGTATATATATATATATAGGTGTATAGCTATATACGTATATAAATGAATAATCAAGTCATGCTAGGTCATGTTTGTGTTTTCTCCAGCCTTGGCGTCTCAAAGCGGCATTTTGCAATCTCTTTGTCTTGCCCTTCAAGAAGTGGCTGGGCTCGGGGGGGTTGAGTCTTGGAGCCAAGGGCTGTTCGGCCGTGACGTAACGGTGTCAGCATCAGTGGGGTGTGTCAAAGCTGGGAGCCCCTTTTGTGGAGAGCGGTTCAACATGGAAACATTTTCCGGTGACGAAGGAACCAATGCAAAGTTATATGTGTAAGGTGCCCTAGATCCGTGACCGGAGTCGCTTTTCTGGGTCCAAATTTTCAAGTCAGGGACTCGGCTGGGGGATTCCCCGGCGCACCAAGGATCAACGACGCCGCCAAGGACGGGTTCTGGGGGGGCGAATCGGGACACCGGTTGGACCACTTCACCCCTAACCAATAACAGCGATCCCGTTATGGAAAGAACGTTCAGCAGCAGAAAGGGGTTCAACATGGTCCAATCCGTTTCGCCTAAGCCACGAGAAGCGGACAGCGGACCCTGGCGGGCAGCATACCTGTTTTGTGCGTTGCGAAGGCAGGCAGGAATCCGGCACTCCACTCGAAACGATCAGGTTGGGTCTGCGTAGGCAAGCTCAAAACTCCTGGTAGCCCAAAAAGTGGTGCCTGGAGTGGCCGGTTCCGATTTCCTGTCTGCAAAATTACGTTGAAGTGTCGTTGCTTGCCTTCTGCAGCCAGGTCCACCGAGCTGATGGCCCAGCTACGATTTGCGATGCGATGTTTTTAGTCTCAAAGGTTTGACCCCGATGACCCCGTGCTCTACCGGAACTGATCCAAACGACTTGGGAGACTTGCACACGACGCAAACAAGTCACGTGGAACATGCGGAACGCCCCGTTTCCTGCCAGGAGGACCACTACTACGCCATCCGCATGCATCCTGTCAATCCTAGTGCTGTATGTGAACTGTGGACCAGGGCCTCGCCCAAAAGCCGATGTGACCTGTTGCCCTAGTGGCTCTCAATGGTTCGTTTGATTTCATTGGGTGCGGCTTGCGATGTGCCTTCGGGGAAAAACGGCAACATCCGTTGACCAGCGGTTCTCCGTTGGATGATGAAGCATCGGAATTGCCTGGCCCTCTATTCGGAACAGCCCAAGTTCGAGCCAAGTAGTTGTGCTAACCAAGTAGTTGGCAAAGTTGATGCTGGCCAAGGAAGTGAGGCCTCCGATTTCAAGCCCATCGGGTCAGATCCCCCGGTGTCAAAGGGAAGTGTCCTTCGATTCCAAGCTGTTCCGTGGGTCCATTGGAGAGCTGCACATCAGGACCCATCCATATTTTTACGAGCAGATCCACATGCAGGCAGAACTCACTCCAGGTACCTCATGTAGGCGCTTGTTGGTTGGGGCTTATCAAAACTAGGTCCCTCAGTCGTGCCGGTTTACCCCTTTTTTGGGGGAGGGTAGACTACAGAAAAAAGGGTACCCTTATTCTAACCTCTCTACTGGAGGACCTACAAAAGGGCCAGCTAACAGGGTTCTAAGCACCCCTCTGCGGAGTCGGAGCTTTGGTGTCCTCCCTCTTCGTTCTTCGGGTTGGAGTGTTTGGCTTCCTCTCCAAGGTACAATCCCGCGAGCCCGCAGCGCACCCTGCAAGCCTCCATTCCCATGAAGCTGTTGGCTGACCACTTCGAGGACTGGCATGACATCCTGGAGGCAAGCTCAGATCCCGGCACAACAACCGGACGAGGGCGCAAAAGGAATCCTGGATGGATTTGTTGGAGTGCCTGGACACCCCCCTATTCATAAAGTGGGGGGTCAACATTCGTGTGCGATCTACGGTTTGGGTGAGTGAATGACTCAACTCTGGTTGATTTCCCGCGCAACGAGGTCATGGCTTGCTTTTTGGAATTGCAATGTCCCGATTCGCCCCCGACTCGATCGATATCTCCCCAGAAGAGACAAGTCCGGGACTTGCTTTTTCCAGGGATTGCAATGAGGGACCTCGGAGGGACCTTCTTTCAATGGTAGCTGTTCTAGACACAATGAGCAGAAAACACCGTGAAAAACTGACACTTGAGCTTCACTTGGCGTGCCTTCACCGGCAAACTATGAGCACCGACTGCCGAGTTTGGCAACGCGAGGTGTCGGTGAACGATGGGGGCATCCCCGTAAGCCTGTCCTACCGTGTGAAGCACACGCTGGGGCTTATGCCCTTTGATCACACGCAGGCGGGAGGGAGGGAGAGAAGTTTAAAGGAAAACGGAGAGGACGCTGACCACTTTGCAGGGTCCCCTATTTTGAGACATGCCCACCAACTGTCTTTTTCCCAGGTGTTCCAACAAGAAGTGGTTGGGAACTTTGGGGTCATGGCCCTCCCGCCCGCCGCCAGGTGCATCTCTCAGAGCCCTCGCGGCTGGAAGGCGCCCGGGTGCAGCCGCCGGTGAAGGATGCGGATGGCAACATCAAGCAGGGCCAGGACGAGACTTCCGAGAAAACTGGCCCAAGAGACCTGGGCGTCCCTTCCAGTTCCAGTTCTTGAACCGCTTTCCCGGAAAAAGTGTGTTCAATCGCATTTCGGGGTGGAATGTGAAGCGGAACATGTGATTTTGCGGTGTGGAAATGTGGGCCAAGAAACAGAGGGCTACTCTGGTAGTAGCTCTTGAACTAAGTCGAAGTGAGTTTCCTCTTGGTGTGATGGATTTTACACGGGAGCTGTAAGCCCTGAAAACCACCTTGAGGTATGGAAAATGGTTGAGCTTGTTTTCAGGGGGTTGGCTCAGTCAGATTGGCCCTTCAATGACATCTGCACCGCCAAAGAGGCTTAGTAGGATCCCTTTTATTCCCACAAAGGAACGATCCAAAGGTCATCCTTCATGGGTGAGACCTCCGTTGCTTCCGCCTGGTTGAAGGGGGTTCATGTCAGGTTGTGCGAGACTTTGAAGTAGATGGCACAATTCCTGTTTAATCCCACCCTTGACTTACATGAAGGGGCTCAAGCTGTCTAATGTCACCTAACTTGCAGCTTGCACCCTTTTTTGATTGGTATTTCCCGCAGAAAAAAGAGGCTGGAGGACGCTGTAAACCAGACCTGAGAAGGAGCCACAACAGCAGTCCTTCCTGCGGAAGTACTGGTGGGTCATTGCCATCGCAGTGCTCCTTATGTCCAGCATGGGCGATGATGGCAAGGGACAGGGTGGAGGCAGACCAGGCGGCGGCGGCGGTGGCGGCGGTGGCGGCGGCGGCGGAGGCGGCGGCGGCGGTCGCCGGGCCTGACATGGCCAGAGACAGATGTGCAATTCGCGCGGTCGGAAGCAAAAGAAGTGAGGAGCGATAGTTCACGCCTTTCAGTGTAGTGATGAGGTTTGATCGGCGTGCGTGAGATTGCTGCTGTTCAGTATGCCATTGATCATGCTGCTTGCGGGTGGCACCTTGCGCTTTGAACCCAACCAACGGGCGCATGTAAGCCATGCTCGTGGCAAGGCCCTTGCACAGCTCACCTGCCTGGAGCCTCGCGCTTGGCAACTTGTTTAGGGCTTTAAGATCACTTGGATAAGTGCATGCTGCTGTTTGTGTGTTTGTGTTGGTTGGTTGCTTGCTTGGTTTAGCTGGGTTGTGTTGGATTTGGGAGGGCTCCGGCTTTGACACATTCCCGGGTTGCCGGAGTTGCGTCCAAAATGCTCTCACGGGGCTGTCTCGCCATTTTTCTCGGGCGAACCTAGCAGGTGGACGAGCACTGGACAAGGGCCGAAAGTCATGGCCATGGGATAATCAAGTGTGCGAGTTTGTGTTACTCAAACTCAGGGGGCCCCAAAAATGGTGGGTGTCCTTTTAATGTCCCTTCAAAAGCCACCAAAAGGAGGGGTGCCGAACAAGAATGACGCACAAGTTTCGCCCCTTCATGGTTCCCCCTTTTTGTCCAGTGGACATGCGGTGCTTTGAGGTTTGAGGGCGCCAGGGCAGAGACGTGGAGTTTGGCACCGCTGGTGTTTCGGCCCCAGAGTTGGGGGAGCTGGGGGCTCGGTACGAAGTTCGGCCCAAGATCTCCCTGAGTTCCCAGACAATTCTACTTTTGGGGTTTGGACCCCTTTCTTGGGCCAGTCCCCTTAGGACGTTGTTGCTGGGTGTTTTGGAGCAGGCTTGTTACATGGTTCAACCGTGCATGTTTGGTTTCATCATCTATTTGGAGACAAACCCACATGGTCACTCAAGCTCAGATTTTGCAGGCAAGAGGCGGTGTTTCAACTGCAGGAGATCATGGGAGGTTGGTGTGACGCCCAGCGAAAATTCTCCACCCCCAATGTATGGCTCGAGCCGCGGAAATGGGGCAGTTGCACGTCCTCTTAAGCACCCGGGCAAAAATCCGCCAGAGGATTCCATGCCAGTCACATTCAAATGGTTAAACAAGAATCCTGTCTTTGTGTCCGTGCCCATCAAACGTCCAACTCCTCCCCAAACCCAACTCCGGGGCTTCGGAGGACCCGGAGTTCGCCCTCAGGTCCAGTGCCCGACAGCTCCAAGTACTGGTGCCGGCCCCCGGTTCCGCTCGATCGGCTAGCTTCCTTTCTGGGAGCCATGGCAATGACATGGGACACCTGGCCCAGAAGGAATTGGCTTGGCTGAGCATAGGCACCGTTTTGCTGGAAAGCAGGCAGCAAAGAAGCTTTCCTGCCCGAAGAGCTAGAAGAGACGTAGCCATGATGAAGATCCCTTACTTCAGATCTGTTAATTTAGAAGCTCGGAATTGTATACTTCTGGGACTCTGTCCCCTCGCAAAACCAGACCTCTCTTTGTTTGTCTCAGTTTTGTGTGTCAAGTTCTGCGTTTGCTCAGCGTTGTAGGCACCAGCCGAGCAGAAGATTGGAAGTGCCCTTGCTACGTGCCAAGGAGCAAACATACCAGTCAGATGATTCTGAGGTGTTGGTGCTCCCGTCCCTGGCTAACAGCGCATTTGACAACTTCATATTAGGCTTTGTCAAAAAGTAGTGGCTCGTCCTCCCATTCCGTGTTTTGCTATCCCGTGGCTCCCTATTTCCAACCAAATCAAGGGCCCCATGTTTGAATCGAATCACCCGAGTTTGGAGCTCGATTTTGGCAGCATGTGTCTGCCATGACTGGCAAAGCCACAGAACAAGCCTGCTTGATTCGCGCTCATGGTCTTTGAACGCCCCCAAGCACTAAATGACCTACGACCGTCTATTTCCCGAGAAAAATAATCCTCGATTTGGTTTGGCGGAAAATCCCCAGGTTCATTCCCAAAACCGTGGACAAACCCAAGTGTCATGGTTTTAAGGGTGCCCCTTTTGGAGCGGTTTCAGGGAAACCCAACAGAAACGAGCATGCCCTGTTTACCCACCGCGCCGGTTCCCTCGGCACGAGGACCTGAGCGACTCGGACTTCGGGGATGCGGATGCCCAGCCGCTTGGGCCATCGGGGACGTCGACCTGACTTCGTGTGGTGAGAGCCGCTGGGGAACTGGATTCCTAGGTGCTTTCTCATTTGAGCCACAATCAAAACCCAGGTTAGTAAGGGACGATCCCAACCATAAATAGCGGCGGCCGCCTTCTTGACCTGTACATGGTTCTGGGTAGACCATTTTAGTGCCCGGTTTTGATTGCGACTCCTTTGGGTTTTGGAATTCCACATAAAACCCAGAGATTTGTTTTGCGGCAGCAGCTTCAGTTGGGATGCTGTTGCACCTGTACAGCTTACGGTTGAAGCTTTGCGGCTTTTTGGGAGTTGTCAAAGTTAGGGCCCTTGTGGCACTTTGGCATCATTGTGTGTGTGTGGTGTTTAGAGGTCTACACGGTGCTCTCAAAGAGAACCACCTTTTGTCCGCCCACGCTCCAACGTGAACCTCAGCACTGCAAGGGCCAGCGATGAAAGTTGCAGAGGCTTAAGCCGCAATGGAAGCAAATCCAACCACGACAGAGTTTAGTTGGAATGTCCCGCAACATGTGCTGCCCATGTTTCCTCTTAAATGGGAAAGGCTAGATCGTTCAGCGTGGTGGATTTGCTTCCAACGCCTCTCTTGGCCTCAAGCAAGCAGAATAGGACTCAAACGGTGTTCATAGATGTTCGTGGAAAATCTGCGATGTTTCCCTCGAAGCACTGCCCACAAACGCAGCATATCTTCCTATCGTAAATGCCCTGCCCCCATTTCAAGGTCAAAGGTCCAAAGCCGGGGGTGGATAGGCCAGCCTTGAGCGGGGATACTGTCAAACCTTGCCAAACGAACCCTAGCAATAGATTTGCTGTTTCCGCACAGTTGAATGGTAATTCTCGGGACTAGGAATTCGTTTTGGCAAAAAGCAGTGGCAAAAGCTTCTTGTAATCCAAGCACAGTTTTGGACTTTGTGATCAAGCTAGCAAAAATTGCTTTTGGGCTGGCAGAAAGGGACGCCTTCAATCAGCCCTCCTGGTGGGTGTGGAAAAAGCGACATCTTGAACCATGGTTTTATTTCTCATGGGGAACCACTACTGCCAAAAAGCAAAGGATACATACATGTACTGCATCCAAATACTTGCAGGTTCCTTTTTACCTTTATTTGTTTGTTGGATGCAGCACAATATATATAGAGAGAGAGAGAGATGCATACTGGCGTGCCCAATTTTCGCACGGGCTAGCGGGTTGGGGTGGAACCCTTTCAGGCAGCTGGCAGCCGCAAGTCTGGGGCCCTTGCTGCTTTCCCGCCTGGCCTTCAGGCGGGAGATGCTTTTCACCGGGCTCGCCCGCCGCATTGGGCAAAATTGGTTCACAGCCCCCCGTTGTTTGCGTAAAGGGAACCCAAAAGAGGGAACCCAACCGGAGGTTCATTAAACAACCGCGGTTGCACTTTGTTTGAAGGGGTTGGCAAAGCTTGCTAGGGCGTCGCCAGTTTCGTGCCACCTGGAACTGGGTGAATTGGAAAGCACAGGCTGATGCCACCCATTGCAAGCGTATCGACAGAAGGAAAGGTGGAGGGTTTGGGGCCAGACCTTAGCTGAAGTGCTTAGTATGGGACACTTAGTACAGATATCCACCTTGGATTCTTCACAGGGTTTGGGGCAGTCCCGATATGCGAGGCTTTCTCACGCTATGCCGCCGTCCAGCCCCACTGTTGCCTTCAACTCTACGTTTTGAACTCATTGGTGCTGTCAATCGAAACCATATGAAATCACCTTAAGCAGCAGCGCCCGGCCGGTGCAAAACAGTATGTCCTTAAGCTGTTCTGCACCATTTCCCTTTGAACAAGCTCCAGAATTACTTGATGGCAGCCAAGGAACACACATGTTCAGCCAGCTCTGGAGAATGCAGAACCCTCGATTTATGAGCACACTGGCTTGCAGCTAGCAAGTTGCAGGACCAAGTTCTTGTTCAAAGGTATTTTTGTCGGCAAGACTATTGTCGAAGAGACCACACAGTAGCATGCATATCTCAATCAACACAATCGCAATGAACACCGGAGAACCCAACAACAAGGCCTCCAGTCCGCGGGAGGTGCCAAGACATTCCTTTTTTTGTTGTCGCTTTTTGGAGCCCTGACGTTTCCTTGCCTTGCCATCCCCTTTTTCTTGCCCCTCCGTGTGAGGTTTGGTTCTCAAATCTGAGGTGGGTGTACTCACGCGCAGGCGCTGCCGCTTGCGCACGCCTGCTGGTGCTGTGGCCGTGGCGAGGACTCCTGCGGGCCTGTGCCCGGCTTTGGAAGGATTTTTCACCTCAATGCTTTGTAAACCTAGGATGTTGGCCTAGTGCCCAAAATGATTCTTGCGATGTTAACCTAGGATCAACACCCAAAAGCCACACAAACAACTTAACAAATCCTTTTGGGCACTCAACTTCCCCGGAATTCGGACTCTGGACTCCTCCCCGACACGAGCGGGTTTCGTTGGCCTCGCGGTCCGGATCTTTGCAGGTCAGCCGGTCGGTGGGTCGGGTGAGTCGAAAGCCTCAAACAGTACATCAAGGGGTTGCATGCATTACTTTCATTGGTCCAGCTGTTTGTTTGGTTTGTTTTTTTGTTTCTGCTTTGCAACCGGGCGTTTTGCGTGGCTTTGGTGCTTCGACCCTAAACCCATCCTAAATAAACCACGACTAAGCCAACCCGCAACCATTCCAAAAACTGACCTTAAACCCACCTGAAAGCCACCCAAAGCTGCAGCCAGCGGGTCCAGACGAGATCACAGCAACATAAGATCGAGAATCGCTTCAAGTACCCATCGGCGCGGGAGCCCTCAGTTTCGGCATTTCCTCGCCTGCACCATTTACGTCCTAAATCGCGGCGCGCAGCGAGGGCGTGTGGCATGTTCTTTTCGTGGCAGGAGTAAAACAGAGCTTCTTTGCTTTTGCCATAAACCACCCAGTGTGCATACGCTTGCAACTAGCCAGGGTCAGATTTCTCGGACCAGGCCACATACACTGGTAAGCAGTCCAGGTTTTCTTTGGGTTGTGGCTATCGGGGTCCGCCTTGTGTTTTTAGGAATTCCCTTCACGTGGCCAGTGCGGATGCCATCCAAGAATTGGATCTCGAAGCCCAACACGTATCAACCTTCGAGAACATATCGCTGTGTGTGTGTGTGGCTAGGAAGAGTTCTACAGATGGGAGCTTTGTTGGGCCATAAGGGAACGAGCGATGGGGCACGCGCTATGGCAGGGTGGCCGAAAAATGCAACCAAGGACGTCTACATAGCCAAAATGGCCTGGTGACGTGTTAAACAAGCGACCATCAACATCGCACTCGGCTGGGGTAAAACAAGCTCGCCTATGTCGCAGCTTTCTCACGGATCCTTTCTTTTCAGTTGGTGAATTGCACAGCGCAGTTCTGCAAGTTGCTTGCCAGGATCCTGAACAGCTTCGGCAAGGTGCGGCACTTCAGCATTCAGGCGACAGCTGAGCTTGGGAGGTTCTTTGAGCTGAAGGGTTGCCATGAGTGTGCCTCTTAAAGCTGGGGCCCACATGGAGAAAAGTTGGTCGACAAGACAAGCGTGTATTATCAGCCAGCTTGGCTTTTCACTTTCGCATCATTCCTGCCTCCCTCCTTCCGTGGAACTAAAACATCAGCATCAAGCGGCTGAATATCTACATGCTGAAAGTGGTTTTCCACGCAGGTTGGGCCCTATTGCCATGTCACATCCCTGTCTCCTTTTGGTTGATGGGTTGCCCTTCATAGAGCGGAGTTGCAGGCAATTTGCTAGGTGGACATGTCAGAAAGGTTAAGACTCATTCCCAACTGGTTGGAGTGACAAGGACCCGACATTGGACATGATGTGACTTGTTGAAGTCGCGGCCCACTTGCGCGGCCGTTGAAATTTGGCCTTCGGCATTTCCTGTGGCATTCAAACTAGGTCCGGGGCAATTTTGTGTGGGTCTCATCCAAAGGCCCCTTTCGAATGTTACAACACTTCTGTTTTCTTTGCTGGGACTTGCGTTTGGCGGATTTCTGTTCAACATAGTTTCATTGGATTGAGGATGCCGGCAAATTTTGGCGGTGACTTGTTGACTTCGTGGATGTCATGCATTCCATGCAGGGAAACCTCGCTACACATAAGCAGCGGTGACGCAGAAGTTCTTGCGTGGCATGTCTACAAGAGTAGATGGGAACTTGCTGCAGCCCGGTTGGGAAATCTTCTGCGCCATGGCCAAGATTCGCTGCGCTCCCAACTGACATGTCCAAGGTGAGCATGGTTCCGATTTCCCGCTCGCAACGCCTAGCAGCCTAGCAGCTTAGCAGGTGGCAGTTCCCACTCAACACGCTCAACCCAAAACCGGCTTAAAACCCAAGTGCCACCAAGCGGCCGCCGGAAATCCCCAGGCCCCCGAGTCCCACGGGTCCCACCTTCGCGCAGGCCAACGCCTGGCGCGCGGAGGCGCACCGCGCCTTTGCGGAGCAGCTCGCGGCCCCCGCGGCAGAGGAGCGCGGCGTTAGAGGAGGGAGCCGTTGGCACAAAGCACAAGATAGAAACAACCAAAGGGGCAGGAGTTGTTTCTGTGCCGGGCAAGGTTTGCCCTTCCACTAACATGGCACCTGTGGGGAGGTACCTGGAAGATAAGTTTCCTCTTGGAGGAACCCCCTGTCAGGTGCCATGTTGGTAGGACAGAGGGAATCAGAATCTAACAGGATGCCCAGCGGGCAAACCTTCAAAGGGTGAGCTCACTTTACACCTCAACCGAATCTTGCGGGTCTCAGCAGGGAATGAGTTAGAATGACCCCTATATTTTTCGAGGAAATAGAATCCCCAAACGGTCCATTCCGACACTGAGCAAGCTTGCTGGTGGAAACCCCAGTGTTACCCTGGGTTTTGGTGGCGCAAAAGGAAAGGGCTTCTTCAAGAAAGAATCGGACTTTGGAGGTGGGTTCCTTTGAGGGTATCTGTGTTTGTTCAGACTTAAAGGGAAGCCAAAAGGAAAGCCGCAACTTCGTGGGTACAAGCCTCGATTTTGACGCATACCCAAATGTCATTGCAGATGTATGTAGCTCTCCAAGTTTCAGCACGAAGCATAACGAGCTTGTTTGAGCGAAAAAAGGGCTCACCCATGATGAAGGGCTTTTAGTAAGCGATCCCATAAATCCGGCTAAATAATTGTACTTGTAGTTGCTTGTCCAGACGTGAAAAATCTTATACACCACCAACCAACAAAAAGCAAAAAGCTCCCTTGGGAGACGCCCTTCTTGTGCCCCATGTTCATTTCCAGTGGGAGCCACGGGGGAGATTGTTAATTTGTAATTCCTGGTGTTTGTTGGCTTGGTTTAGGCGGAGTTTCATAGCAATGCTGACATGCTTGCCGTGGTCAACTAGCTGAAAGTTACTTGTTCTTGACGTTTGCGTTGGGGAAGCCACCCATAGTACTTTGGAGGCGGGGGTTGAGGTAAACCACCAGCGCGAAATGCCCCGCCGCAGGGCCTGCTTTCACTGCAAGCTGGCTATGGGGCCCAGCCCGTGCCAGAGGCCAGAGCTTCTGGTTCTGGAAAAGCGCACACACCTTAGCATGCTTGGGAGTTTCCGGTTGGTTTCCTTTGAACAGTTGAGTGGCAAAGAAGGACTCCAATAAAGCAGAAAAAGGAAGTTGATTTTTCTTTTCCAAGACTGGAGAGGGCCATCATATATCCGACAGGGGGGTTGTCTTGTTCGGGGCTAGCCTTGGAGGGGGCTTCTTTTTTACGAGCCTGTCAAATCTTACTTTTAAAGCAAATTGTAGTAATAATTTGGTTGAGGCTACGAAAGGGGTTAGTTTTGTTGAAGTATTGGCAATAGCTTTGGAAAGTTCGAATTACGTGTTTTCATATTTTTGGGGTTTGGGAGGCGGCGAAAACATTCAGAGGAGTCTTTTGGCCAAACCTTGTGGGTGCCTTTGAAGTAGTATTGGTTGGCAGTTGGCTGGAAAAGTCGGGCGTTTTTAATCAGCGGGGGTGCATTAATCCCATGCGTGACCACGCATGAAGCACCCAGAAAGGCCAGTGATAGCGACGGGAAAAGCACAATTTGCCGCGAAAGTTGGAGACCCCATTTTGGAAACGGCTCAAAGGGAAGCCAACACGGAAACCGCGAAGCAGTGGTTAGCGCGGGTGACGGATCGAAAGAGCTCACTATACACTCCGGAGGCCTTCTCCGAGCAAGGCAGGGACTTGGGCACGCCCGGGGTGGCCTTTGATGGATTGGTTGAAAACGGGTGGATTCTATTGCAGTCAGTTTTCTCATTTACCACATCAACAGTTTCCAAAAGTGATCACGGCCTCAACACATGCCAAGCGTTGACGCCCTACGTGGCTGTGTGGGCAATGGTAAGTTAAGGCATTGTCAAAAATGTTTGTTAATGGAGGTGTCAGCGGAGCAAAGTGAAAATTAGTCTCCTGCGACCTCAGCCCCAATGAGCCCTAGATCCATACCCTTCGTTTGCGGGGTGGAGAGGGTTTGTTGCTCGGGGAGGTCCATTGTTCAAATGGCGTGGAGGGCGGGGTCATTGTTGCGTTCCGATGGAGGGGGGAAGGGGGAGGCGGGGGGCTCACTCGACGGGATCCCGAACCTTTGTGAAATACTCTACGAATCCGTAATGATCCTGGATGAACTTTATTCATTTCGTGACCTAGTCTGTGTATCTTTGTTCCCATCCCCGGAAACAAGGATCCCTGTTTGAGCTCCGTACTTGTTGAGCATCGTTTTGTTTTTCTATCAGCGCATCCTCAGCTGTGTTCTTTGAGTTGGAGATGTTTGCCGTTGGGGATGAGGAGTGCCAAATTTTGCCGACCCGAAAAGGGTTTCAAGATGCCCTACCTTAAAAAAGTTGAGGGGGTCACCTCCCTACCACTAAGGCAGGGAGATGTTCCGATGCTTTTTCTACCGATGGGTAGCTGAAGTTTACGAGGCCTTCAGTATCTCAGAGGAATCCTAGAGGCCTGGTTGTATTGTCCTAGTTGTTCATACTTCTAGGAGGCAACTAACGCCACTGGGCGCCTGGTGCGTTTTGCTGGGATTGACAAAAATCCCCCTGTAATTGCAGCCGAGATGCAAACCTGGCAAAATGGCTTCGGCAAAAACTACTTTTTCAGCACATTTCAAGGCTCTTAGTTGGCAAAAGCTTCGGCTAGTTTCTGCAAAAGCTCATGCGGCTTGGGGCTCTTCATGGACCTCCGGCACACCCACTGGTAGCACCTCTGGCGCAAGCGTGGGTTCATCTTGCCATACACTCCATGGCGAGACTTTCGCTTCAGCTGGGGAGAAACGTTTTCAACGACTTCCAGGCAGCATCGAGGCATTGAGTGCCACCCTTTTTAGGGAGGCGCCCAAGCTTTGGATCATCTATGTCTTTGCAGTACTGTCGCATCTGATGGCTCACTTGAACACAGGACAGACCCACAGACTTGCCGGCGGCCGTCCATGCTCGAGCACCATCTGCGTAGAGGGCTGTCTTGCGTCTGCGACGAAGACGTTTCAGTAGGCCAGACCGGTCTATTTCGCGCCAGCTTTCCACTGGTGGTCTCGACTTTGGCTCGCAGACCTGAGGCAGTTCTCCAACCACATGTCCGAAAAAAAGCAGCTTAAGAAGAGGGATGACAGTCAAGTTTTTCCCAAATAAATGCATGGAAGGTTCTCTTGGCACATCAGTTTGCAGGTTGCCAAATTTCATGATGACACAGATCAAATCAGGCAAGTGCGACAGGTTGCAGCACCGCCGTGACGACATCTCCATCTCCCTGCCGCAGGCCCAGGACTCTGACATGGCAGGGGTAAGCTGGATGAAGAACGCCCGTTTTATTCTGAAGGCTCCAGATCATATCTGCGTACTCTGCGTTATCCCTCCGCACAAAGAGCTTGCCAATGGACGGCGCCTCGGAGGTGTGCGGAGCGACGAAATTCCTGTCCAGTGGTCCAGCCCACTCTTCCGCCTCCAGAAGAGTGTCCAAAAAGTGGCGGCAAATGGAGTATCCATGGTGCGAGGTCTGGCAGGCAGGAAAAAACAGAGCAGACACCATGGAAAAGAGGGGCAAAGCGACAAAATAACAAAAACAAGCCGCAGAGCCTCGATGGACATGGTCTTGAGAACAGGGGCGGTGCTGCACTTGATGAGCAAAGTGAGCAGCTCAGAGGGAAGAACCTGAATGCCCTTGAAGTACGACCCATCTAAAAACAAGCAGCGTCTCTGGCAGCCCCACCCCATGCAGCGCCAGTGCCAAAAGCTCTTACGCCCCTCCCGCGTGGTCACCAATGGCCCCTTCAAGGCATTCGAGCCACAGGCCTTGCACTTGTCTGGCTTCGCACAAAACCGTTGGTCACCAGCGTCAGCAGAAGACTCATCGCTGGAAGCCTCCTCCCAAGGCAACTGGCGATCTACGGTTGCTTTCCATTGCTTGTCCAGCGTGCCGGTGTACGCTTTGTGCGCAGCTTTTCTGTCTGCCTTCTTGGAGTGGGACCTAGCCTCCTTGTGCTTTGGCTCCATGCCACTGCTGGCCGAGGTCAACTTCTTCACCTGGCTCTGCAATGCTTTAATTCGGGCTGCGCCCGGCAAATTACATCGCTCGAGGAGATGGGTCGCTGATCCGCAACATGTGCATTTGTGCACTTGTTCGCGGTGCGCGCGGGTGGCGGGCGCAGGCCGCTTCATGTGAGACAGAAGCAGCTAGGCCAGAGCCGCACCTTGCAGTCGAAATCAAGACACGATTGGTGAGCTTGTTGGTTTCAAAATGTGGTCTCAAAGAATCAAGCGCAGAAGCGAACCCCCAGCAAACAAATAGCCAACCCTGTTTTAGCATCAAGCAGATCTGTCCCCGAGGCGACAGCAGTGAGACTTGCGCTTTCACGCCATCTCTGTTTCCTCTGGCACATGTCACCAGTCGCTAGCGGCTCCAGGATGCTTCAGCTGCCACGCAACGCTGGAGCGTATGGTGCGGATGTCGGCCTGAACACTCCAAGGTAGAGAGCTCCACCGGCCATCATACATTTTCAACCCGCAGCACTGAGGAGTGCCTTCAAATCGACCAGACCAGCGCACAACTGGCCGGAGTGCCTGCCCACAGCCTCGCAGCCCATATTTGCTTGCCCTGGGTCGAGTTCCGCTTCCTGGCAGGGCATGCCTTTCGCGAGTCAAAGGAGACTCCTGTTCCGCACCAGGGTGACGATGTGGCGGAGTGTAAGGCCAAATCTCTGAGGAAGCTGAAGAAGACCGCGGCGTGCCATAAGGGACCTTTCGTTCGAAGAAGCAGGGGACGCGGAGCCATCATCTTCAGAGCTCAGGATGTCCACGGGTTCGTCCTGTTAGCGAATCAGAGAGGGCCTGCCCAGATTGAAACGTGGTCTAAATGGACAAAGAAACCAAAGACACACATCACTCAGTCCTGCTGCGCTGCGCTGGTGCCAGCTCTTGTACTTCTTTGCGGGGGGAGAATCATCAATGCACATTGGACTGCGCGGCCCTGATTCTTGCAGCAGAGACATGTAACGCGCCACCGGGGTGTCGCAAGGATGTGTGGCGCGGCGGCGTTGCGGGGCAAAGATCTTGCGGAGCAGCATGCTGGGGCATGGATTGGGATGGATGGATGGATGTCAGCCTGAGAGCGCAGCCTCAGGCTGGGAGAAAACAACCAAGCTTCTCTCTACAAACATCTGACAAGCGTGATGCCACGCACTCACCACAACGGCACGCTCTTCCTCCAAAGTCCAAAACGATCCTGCTGCAAAAGCAAAACGATGTCCAAACAAAGCGCACCCCAGTGATCACCAGGATGACGGCAGGCACAGGACAGCAAGGAGTCCACATACTCAATGTCAAATGTAAACCAGCCTTGAAGGCTAGGACATGGACATGGCACGCGGCAAAGCCGCAGAAGTAAAACCAGCGCCAGGCGGAAGCAAGCCCAAGGGGCCAACGACCGCACGCCATCCCGCGGCTCACGGAAAAGCCGGGCTTGGGAGATGGAAATAAATGCGCCGCGCCAGGTTGTATGTTTGTGCACGCATCTGGGGCCGCGGCTGAAAACTTCACCTGTGTGCACGCGTGCGTGTGTGTATGTCTGTGTGTGCATGTTGGCGCGCAATCATCATGCTCCAATGAAGCTTGGCCTTGCGCAAAGGCAACGTTTGCTATCCAATCCCCCACACCCCCCCTCCCCACCCCAACTCCTCTGGTTTCCTGAAACCACAAAAACACTGAAAACAGCCAGGCGCCTGGCAGCGCTGTTGGCAACTACTTGTTGATGGTGCTGGTGATTTCAGGGAGCATCCCGCCCCAGAAGAAACAAATGCCAAAAGCGACAATTGCCATGAAATCAGAGCTCTGGTAAAGCAAAACGAGCTCGAGTTCCATCTTTGATCCCTTGCAGCATTGGGGTTTGTGAATTCGGGCAGCTTGGGCCAGCTTGGCGGAGTCCAAGGGTCCATTTGTTTTCTCCCCAGGCAGGCGCCTGCACTTCCTCTCGCACTTCGGCGCAGGGGGCCGAGTGCGAGTTGCATCGCTTGGTTCCATCTTAGCCTTGGGCGCTGATCTTTGAACACGCCATGTTCTCCACTGGGCCGCTCAGACTTTTCGGGGTCGGGTCCGACGCCCGTCAGGTCGGGCTTTGGCTCTCCGCGGTGCTGTTGCGCTTGGAGCGGTTGCAGGAGTTGAGGCAGGGCAACTGACATCCAAGCGGCTAAGCGCATCACCTCCCCGTCATGTTCTTAGGGGGTGAGCATGCAGTATAATTATGTTCTCTTGCTTGCCTCTCCGGACGTCGCGCAGGAGCCCTTCTTTTCCCAGAGGATGGATTCCGAGGGTCAAATTGGCAACAAGCCAAAGCCCCCTCAGCTGGAATATGATCAGCACGTGCCTGGATTCCGCATAATGACGCCCGATAAACATCCTAGACAGAAGGCACCCACTTTGCCCTTGGACGGGTCTCGCAATTCTTGGACAAAGAAAGGCTCCCCGCCCCCCCCAGCCCCGTTGCCCTCCTCCCATTCAACACCTTCTTCTTCCCGACCCTGAAAAACCACAAGACATGAGGCTCGACATTGATTTTTCATTCGCGTCACAATGTGGCCAAAAACAGCAAATGTCCTGCAAGGTCGCGAACGGAAACGCCCAAGGCCAGAGCCCGCACTTGGCACATGGCATTCTCCACTGAAAAGTCAAATTGCATTCGCTCGCTTCCCCAGTTCGTGGACTTTACACTTGTAGGAAGACGATATCCATGAGAATTGTTGTGGTGGTTTTGTTTTCAGTGATTCAGACTCCCCTTCACCTTGTGGCTTTGTGCGGCCAAAAAGGTGCAGTGCGTTTGTGCAGGGCTTCCTTTCTTCCCTTTTAGGTGGTTCTCAACATCGCCTTTTAACAATCAATTGATTTCCCTTTCGGCGGGGTGATGCTTAAAGGAAACTATAGAGAACCCGATTGTTTGGGTGAGCTGGAAGCAGCCAGCATACCGCGCGCGCTCGGCGCCACTATTTTCCTGACCTAAGAAGACTTCCGCTACCCAATCACTAGGGGACAACGGGGCATACTCCTCGCAGTCCGGCACATTCCGGCAACTGGAAGGCTGGAGAGGTTGCCGGTGGGAGCCGCGGCCTGAACAGAAACAGGATCCGCTTGAGAGCTCAGATGGGAGTTCCCTCAGATAGGGGCCGGACATATCAGCACCCAAATAACAGCAAAAAATGAGGATCCAAACCTTGCAAGGCAGGTGCTTTGGATGTATCCTAGGCCCTGTGGATGTAACCTGCTCTTGGTCCAAGGGGGAAGGGTCTGTAGTCTTTACAAACCTTGACGCTTGGGCAGAACCCAAAGTCAATGGGTGAAATGAGTGCTCAGATGATCCAGCATTTGCTTCTCTTGGCCTTTTGACAGGCAGGCTCAACCCATCTATGAGTCAATGTTTATGTTTTAGTGGTTGATTGCGGTCGGGTGGCTGTGGACAACCCTGAACCTTGAACTTACCTGCCATGAACCCTAAACTTAGCCTATAACCTACCCTAAACCCACCCTGCACCCACCCTAAACCTAGCCCTAACACCGACCCTAATTCTACCCAAAGCCTGCCCCAAGCTCGCCCTTGACCCACCCTCAACCGACCCTAAGCTTACCACAAACCTACCCTAGGCCTACCCGAAACCCACCCGTGCACACCCTAAGTTGTAGACTTAAATGCCACCCTTTCGTGCACGCAAGGCTGTGCCAGGGCTAGGCTAATGCCAGGGCTAGGCAAAATGAAGCACCTTAGCCAAAGGAAAACCAAAAGGAAGACCCAAAAAAGCGACCCACGCAAAATCATGTTGCAGATGTGCCCGGCGCTGTTATTGGCGGTCCTTGCTGTCCAGGAGTCTATATGTGTATTCAACTGTTCATTTGCCTGGGCTCCAGACTCATCGACTGACATTGATGGCAAGCAAAAGCAGATTCCTAGGTCTTAAGTTTAACTGTGAAACGATGGGATACTTTGCTACGATGCGTAGTCTTTAGAATCCATTGCATATTCTAAACTTGAGCAACCCCACTGCCGCAAATAGCCTGGGCAGCGTGACATATGGCCTAGTGCACGGCAGAACATATCACGCCTCATGGTGCACCATTCGCAACCAGGCGACTGTAATATTGTGAGCTTGCTGTTACCATCATAGCCTGCATCACGTTAGATGGCATGAGACATTGCCGCATTCGCAGAGGATGGACATGTTGCCCATCGCGTTGCGAATGAAGACCCAGATCGATGGCCTCCAATATGGTGACCCTCTTTCCACTCAGACGTTCAAAACAGCAGTTGTTCCATCATGTCATGCCCCAAACTGCGCAGAGCCATAGGTCGTGACCTTCCAAATCCTGCGGCGGCGTTTGAGGCGGGCTAAAAGCACGCGTCGCTGGCTTGTGAGCCGGGTACGAGTTGACGTCGGATCGGATCCTTCCTGTTTCTACTTTGCCTAGTGGGCTTAAATCACACTGGTCAGAACTGGCTGGTAAATAGTTCAATGGAACCTGGGACAAACAGGTTCGCCATTTCTGCCTCAAGTGTTCTAGTTGGGATCGTGTCCTTGGAAGGCCTTGCAAGGTGTCCATAGCACAAATGGGTTTGTGTGCCAATTCTTTGTTTGTTCTGTGATTGTTTTTTGTTTGCAGAAAGTGGATGGGGAGTCCTTTGCCGCAACTTCACCGACGGAGAAAAAAAACACTTCCAGGTGTGGTGTGTGTGTGTGTGCGCGTGTGTACCCCTGTTGGTCTGGTGCTGGGTGTTAGTCCTTGCTCAGCTTTGCCGTTATTTGTGTGATATGGCTTCCCCTTGAGCTTCAACTTCAATTGATTCCTTATTTCACTTGCCCAAAGCCGACCGTGACCTTTTGGTTTCCGGTTGTTCCTCCATTTTGAGTCATGGCCCTAAAAGGTTAACGCTTTGTTTCTCATTGGGCAACAAGCAACTGAGTTATGTGGCCACAACCCAAAAAAAAAACTGGAAGGCAATCGCAGCAATGTTACAAAGCCGGCTGATACTCAGTTTTGGCAACTAACGTGAGGCTAGTATGATTTTGTACTGCCAGCTTGATAGAAGCCAAAGTCAACAGGCTTGGGGCGCTGATATAAAGCTCATTTGCATGTGGGTGGCTATGAAGTCAGTCGTTCGGGCGCTAGGCGAGATTCCGCCTCCAAGGCAATGCAAATAGAATCCTGTCTTTACGGGCTGTGCTTGAAATGCAGGAGTCGGTCTGCTTGTTTCGTGGCCGCTGTATACTTGGCAAGACCCCTCCAACTTGTTGGCAAAAAGTGTTCGCGCATGAATTGCACACCAGAGCAACATTTTTTGGCGGGGGGGGCTGCATTGCCATTTGTGAAACTGACGACAGATCTCCAAGAGTTGCACAGCCGACTTTGCTAAATGCCAGACCCCCGCATTCAACTCCCATGAAAGGAAAGAGTCACTGACCCCTAGAAATGCCGTCTTGGCAGAGCTGTCACCATTTCCTTGGCATCACCTCGATGAACTTCACATGATGTTCCTTGGGGTTGTGTGATACGAGACAATTGGAAACCCCCCGTGCCCTCGCAGTTTTAACCCCAATGCCATGTTTGGAGGCAGCTGGGGGCGAAATCACGTTGGAGGAAACATGTCTGTTTAATCACGGTCCAGTGTTTGGTCAAGGGTCCTGTTGACCGGGCTTTATCGCACAGAGATTTGGATTCGATGCGTCAAGCATCATGTTCTAAGTCATGTTTGTCTGAGTTCCCGTGAGAGGAGTGCCCCTCAACTGGGGGCATGCAAGAACTCATCCCCTGTCACATGCCTCGTGCGCGCACGCTAGAACCCATGTGATAAAACCACGGCAGCGTCACGCAGTTTTGGAGTTTGCGAGTTCCGTGCAGCAGATCTCTCCTTGCTCTTTGCTTGCTGTCTCGGCAGGGAGCCGTTAGCATTGCAGACGCCTGAAGCTCAGTCGCAGGCTTGAGCTTCCTTGCTGGAAAGTGGAGAGCGGGCATGTCAAAAGAAACTGCAGAGATTATGACTTAGGAGTGGCCAACCCTGCATTTTAGAGAAAGGCCTTTGTTTCAAGGTGAAAGCTGCCTTTGGCAGGAAGGGATTTGAACAGCGGCAACTTGGGTGTGTTGCCACCCGGAAATGTGGGCGGACCTGTTTTTGATCAGCCGGGAAGTAAATCTTGACGTTTTGATCTCCGTAGATCGGGTTTCACTAATTCGTAGAATCGACGCAGTCCGCCCCCAAATGCGCCTTCAGGTTCTAGGCTTGGGCCTGCTCCCCTGCACAAGCTGTTTCAGGGCTGTTTATTAGATGGGCTGCCCTTCAAGCCCGCGTCACATTGTCATATGCAATGTGAGCGCGGGAGGGCAAGGGAGCGCAATTTCCCTTGAAATTTATTTTTCCACAACCCCGGGGGGGGGGGGTTTTCCCTTAAATCTGACCGAGTGGTTTGGTGGCTGAGCAGGATTTGACTGCACATGAAATGCTAAATTGCTTTTTTGGGGCTTCCCCCCATCCCCCCCAAATAAACGTCATTTTTCGTTGGTCCCGTCCCCCCGCTAAAGGCGGCCGGGGGTATACAACTGTGCATTTCTCATGGAAGTGCTTCGAATGCTTCCGGCTGTCAATTTAGCTCAGTTCGGCTGATCCGATGGGCCAAAGATGTGCACTTGCCACCGTCGCTGCGACGACTTCAAGGCCATAACGATCCTAAGGATGGGGCACCAGCCCCGAACTTCGTGTCGTCTGAGCCGAAGCCTGCCATGGCTAGGTTGATCCTCTGGGGCTGCACTGGGCTTACGGAATGGCAGGCCGTCCGCAGACTCGATATGGCATCGATATGGGGCGGTCCCTTGTTGCAGGCGGAAGGGGTATGAGGCCCTTTCTTTCGGCCGTTCATGAGAGTTGCATGCATCAGAGACGTGAAAGACTCGGGAAGGGCCCAGTTGTTTTTGTGGCTTTTCAACGTGACGCGCACCTTGGCTGGTGGTTGGTGAGGCCAAACCAAAGGGGCGGGGTACTGTTTCTTTTGGCCGTGCCGAATTCCAAATCAGGTTGGGCCAAGAATGATGTCGCGAAAAAAGTCGCTCCGAGCTCCGAGCAGACCTCCTCTCTGGCCAGGCCGGCAGGGAGCTCGCCGGGTTCCTGACCAACTGTCCGCACTTGGAACGCTTGGATTTGGCCCAGCCCGGGCCCCGGGTCCAAAAGCTTGCGACGGTGCCTTCTGTTGCCGGCTCACATCGTAGGTCGGCGTGATCATGGTTTGTTCGCAGCCACGCTCGAAGGTGGGCTTGGGCAGGTGCAGGAACAGTTCCTTAGGTCTGTCTTTAGAGCGCCAGCAGAGTTTAATGGATGATTCCTGCTGATTCTCCTTTTCGTGTCACGAGGCATAGATGTGTTGAGATCGGTGACATGTCTTTCGATAGGTGAGCCTAAGCGAAGGCACGGAATCTTCGGGCCGTCACTCCCTGCAGGAAGCAAACCGGAAAGGCCAAAATTCCCTACCCCACAGCTCCTTCACCGTTGGCAAGCATGGATTGAGCTCCAAACGAGCTGCAATCAATGGCAACCATACCATCCATACTTGTTCTAATTTACAAGGGGCCGAAGTGAATGCTATAGATGGCCCATGGTGAACCAATTTTCGGGTTTAGGACAAACCAAAACGGAATGGATCATTTGATTTTCTGCCGACTCCTCGCACCAAGCCGAACCTTTCGTGCGCTCCCGAGGTCCGACGCAACAGAGGCCTTCCTGCGGGAAATCGATTCCTTTCGGGACGCATGTCCCGGTGACAAAAGGACGGCGCGCGGATCGTCCTTCAAAAAGTGGTGCCCCCTTCGTCTGCCGTTCAACACAAGTGCTCCCTCCAAAGAGGCAAAGCCCATGGTTACCCCTTCAGGGTGGTTCAAGCATCAGCTTGGATGTTGATTCAATCAGCTGGAAGCCTTTTTGGAGCCAGCAATTGGAGGATTGCAAGTTGCGCGCTGCTGGCTCAAGAGCAGCTGCTTTCAAAAAGTAAGCTGTCTCCTGCCTGCGGACAAATTGCCGAAGGCTTGTTGGACAAGTCCCTTTGAAAATATGTTTTTGGGGGCCACTTGTTTTAGATCGCAAGATGCCACATATCCCAGAGCTTCCTCCAGCGGGAAAGGTGTGAGAGCTTGCTGCAAGCCATCGACGTGGTGGAGGTCGAAAAGGTTTTCTGGCGATCCCGTGTTCCCAAAGTCAGCCCGCAACTCGCAGCGTCTAGCCAACTGCTGGGCCATGGCACAACTGTCCTACTCATGGTGTCCACTTAGGTTGGAGACCTGAAGGTAACCAGAACAGAACTGCAGACTCGTAGCGGCCAGCGCATGCGCGAATGCCTCGCGTGCCCACGGAATATTGCAAACACGGCTCAACTGTGCCGATTCCAACGGAACCATGGGGGGTCTGCCCCACTTAGATGGATTTGTTATTAGTTTAGGTGCTCCCGGCTTAAAACGTGTTGACCTGGGGGGGGTTCTTGGCTTTGGGAAGGAAGCTGCTCGCCACTCAACAGTCAGATCTTGAGGGACGGAGGGAGGGAGGGAGGGAGGGAGGGAGGGAGGGAGGGAGGGAGAGAGAGAGAGAGAGAGAGAGTATTGGTTCAGTCCTTTGTTCCAAATTCCGCAAATAAATCCACCCAGCGCTCCAGGTACTGCACGCCAGCTTTGCGTCCGACGAGCTCAATGCTGAGTCTTGTTTTGGTTGGGCAGAGGCAGGCTTAGCAAGGAAAGAGATCAAAGATTCCTTGGCCAGAGCCCCTCATTCATGAATAGCCGAATAGCAGTTTCATCATGAAGGTCCGTCTGTTTCTTGATTGGTTGCCCTTTTTTAAACCTGTGGCGTTTTCACTAACTTGCCCGGATCCCATTCGCCGAGACAGCCGAGGAGCGCCTGGTGATGCCCAAGCTGCCACCACAGCTCAAGCAGCAGCTCTTCAAGACCCCGAAGCTTCGACAGCACCTGGCGATGGCCTCAAGTCCCAGAGTCGAGAGAGAGAGCGAGCTCGAGGTGCGCCCTTAGGTTTTTGTTTAGTTGAGAATAGCTGAATGTCGCTGCTGAACAACATGGTCTTGTGCTGTTTGTTTTCTTCCGAGGGGACCCTCTTTTTTGGTTTGGAGGGAATCTGGAAGGAAAAGGCTGCCTCCGACACATACCATTTCTCTTACCACTACCTGACACCAACTGGTGCGCCTGCCGTTCCTGTTTCGCAAACGAAAGGGAAAAGAGAAAGAGGAAGAAGACGAAGAAGAACAGGAAGAAGAAGCAGAAGAAGAGAATGCGAAAGATGCGAAAGAGGAAGAGAAAGAGCGAGAAAAGAACAATGGGATCCACGGGATTTTGTACACATGCCGAACAAAAATGTAACAGCTAGTATGCCATTGCGGTCTTTGCTTGCGACCCGGACACATATTCAGCCGCGGCTGACCGCCTTCAAAGGCAACATTAAATGGCACCCTTTCACATTGACCGACCCCTGAACAAACTCTCGAGTCACATTTTTCAGGGGGCTTGAGAGGAACAGACTCCCTATGATGTTGGGGAGGTTGTTATGTCAGGCATCAACATAGTTCCGCAGCTTGGCGAGCTCAATTTATCTGCGACTTGCTTTGAGGGGACTCCAGTTGGTGCTTAACATGTGTCTTCTGGTGTGCCTGCAAGATCCCGTACAGTCAACGCCAAGGGTCAAAAGTTTCCACATCCTGGACGTTACCCTCCAACACACCTGGAAGTGCATAGTCCACCATTGTGGAAGAATGCTTTTCTGCAGGACAAGGGAGGGTTGCAGCAGAGCTACCATGGAAGTGTAAACAACGGAATTTACATGAGGCAGCAATGAGTGTAAAGCTCAGCCAAGCATCATTGCACGCAAACGTGGCAATTCCAGCAACCAGCGTGTCACATCTCGGCTCCGAGGCCACGCAGGCGCAGAGTCTGCTGGATCTGGCGGAGCTCTCCGGGCCGGACTCGGCGGCTCAGAGCCTTCGGCGCGGAGTTGGTCGGCGTCCGTTTCCCATTTGGCTCCCTTACCCAGGAAAAAGATCATATTCGGTTCCGTTTTAAACCCAAAAAGTGGTAGCAAGAAGAAAAGACAAGCCCAAATCGAGTGGTCCCTACGTGGCGTCCGTTTCCATTTGGCTCCCTCAGAAAATATGATGTTTTGTTCCGTGTGAAAAACCCCGGAAAAGTTGTAGCAACAACAAAAAGACGAACCCAAGTAAGGGTGTAAGGGTCTGGCCGGCCAGTTTTGTTGGGGTTCCCAAATTTCAGAGATTTCAAAAGTGGCGATTGTTTCCATGGCAACCACCAGTAAATTGCAACCTCTGCAGGGGAAATCCAGCTGTAGATGGCCGGCTTTCATTTGGCCCCCCTACACAAGAACACAATATTATCTGACTGTCCATATGTAGAACCAAATGCGGTCCGAAGTCTACTGTACTTTAAGAAACTCCCATCGAGATCCTTTCCAGAAAGCCATCCCACCCTACAAGGAATCGGGGGGTGTTTTTCGGGGAGCCACCCAAGATAAATGGCTGTTTGTTGGTTTATTTATTCAATTCGTATAATCCCACCAATCGAAAGAGGAACTACCCTCAAAAACAGACCCAACTGGCGCTGTTTTTTCCCCCGAAAGAGTGTTGGTTCGGGAACCGAACACCAAATGTTCACATAGCTTGTCGTTTGGTGTTTCAGGCAGGTGCAAACAACTAGGATGGGCATGTTTCCACAACCGAGCAAGTTGGTATTCCCTCAATTGCCCAAACCCAAAGCGACCGTTTCACCTTGTTGCTTTGCGACTGAAACCCCATGATCAAAGTTCATTCTGGGGATCCTCAATTTCCGAGAGTGAGGAACAGGAGCGCCGGCGTTTTCGGACTAAGGCAAGATCCAAGCCGCTTCGCAAGGTTGCCATGTCCAATGGCGTTCTTGGAAGGTAAGCTGCCGAGTTCCTAGGGCGATCCAAAAGCCGCGCGCACGCGTGACATGTATGTGTAAGAGAGGAACCTGGCTGGAAGAAACTGGGTGTTTAGGGGGAAGCCCGGATTGTGCTTGCTTTGGTCAGAAGGGAGGGCTTTGAGCCGTCCTGTTGGAGGAACCCAGCTCATTTTGAGAAGGGTACTGCCTACCACACGTTTGGAAACTAGGTATTCCCGAGCAAGCGCCAGCCCAACCTTTGCGACTGACGTGGAAAGGTGTTCTCCCGACGGCTGTCGAGCATACCTGGGCAGGCTGAAACGAGCTCACCCATGATGTGCCATGATGCCGAGAATTTACCAGGGGACTCTTTATTTTGATTCCAGTTGGTGATCTATTTCATCTTGCCTGGACATGTGCATTGTTCGGAAAATGCTTCACAGAACCCATGGCCCAGTTCGGCCATGTTTGAGACCACTTGATTCAGTCATTCAGATTGGCTATAACTGACGCCTTGACAAGGTGGCTCACAACCCTATCCTTGCGGTGTAAGAGATGCCCTGGCGGTTGTTTGGGTGTGGCAACCCTCTCATCAGGGCAATTTGTTTAGCGGCAAACTTGGCCAGCCAGCTCGCTCCAAGCTTTGCCTCAGCTCAGGATCAGGGAGGGCTTCGAGAAGGGACGCCACCTCAGCTTTCCATACGAGGCATGAGATTGCTCAGAGGAAACTGGAGGCCTTGACAAAGGGTTGTTGCACCTGCCTGTAGATCTTTGCTCAAAACGGGCAAGCTGAGGATTGGAGGCGCTAAATCACGAGGCAGCCGCTTGAATGCAGCTCGCTTTGCGTGCACGCTCGCATGGCGAACCCACACAGAGCCTTTGCATCCCTTTGGTGCAAACACTGAGAAAAGATAGACGGCGGAATGGTTCAATTCTATTGGTGTCACTATTCCTTCTTACTCAGCGACAAGGCAAAAGAGCCATCAACTGTCACCCAACTCTGGCTCGTGTCCTGGTATTTCGAGGCTCGGCACGGAAATAGAGATAGAGCTGGCGCTGAGCCTGTTGTGCCGTACAACCAGGGAAAGTGGTTGTCGCTTTCGATTCAACGGGGGTTGCATCAGCCCATGTGTTTACAACGTCTTCGTTGAAACAGTCTTTGTTGAAGACCATGTTGTGAGTTCCTATTGACAGATATCACTCCATGATATATGCTCTATACCCCTTAATTCTCAATCTCAAGTTCACGAGCGTCACCAAGAACGAGCAGTGTCACAGCAAGCTGGTGAACAGGTGCATGTAGTTGGCGCAGGGCATTAACACCTTGAGATTTGTCGGGGTCCTTCTCTTCCCGTTTCAGAAGGATCACGCTTTGGCCCACGTGAGGGCTTCAGCTGAGTGCCCGAGGATCTGCACCCCTTGCAGTTTCAGCAGTCGCTGAAGGAGTTGGCGGCGATTGAGAAGATGGTAAAGGCGGGTGGGGCAAGTTCAGTGCCCACTGAAAAAGGACGCCGAGGGACCCTACGCAGGCCCGGCCCCAAATCCCCGGGTGCGCAAAGCGCTAGGGGCCCAGGCCGAAGGCGTTGCTTGAGAGAGCTGAGTAGTTGGGGAGACAGGCTTACCCTCAGTCGGCAGCTGACGGACTTGATTTGTTCCAAGAATCCTGAAATCTCCTCGGGGCATTGCGAGTCCCCATGTAGGGGGGAATCCTTGACCCATTCTTCCGCCAAGGTATTTCAGAAGTCGGTTTTACTGGTTTCATGAAGGTGACACTCTCAGAATTACCTCGTGCAAACGGTAGTCAAAGTGAAATTCACTTGCACACTGGTTCTTTTTGGCGCACCGTCAAATGCACTTTGTTGGTGGCACCAAGCAATCAAATGGAAAATGAGGAGGCATCCTACTCGAACCAACTGCTCGAATTGGTTGATCCTTTGCAGCCTTGCAGGTCCATTCGGTTGGCTTCCTTGCCTTTCTGCCGCCGCCGCCGCGTAGTGAGCTGAAAGACTTCTTGTAGCGCGGCGAAAGGAGAGTGCGGCTGGCTGACATTTGCGACCGGCAGCACGTCAAAGTGGTAAACCTTTTCAATGTTCGGACATCCCTGCTCGAGCCAGCCTAAAATGTGAGGCAAATTGCGAAAAAGCTTGTACTGTGGGAATGACCATTGGAGCCACTCCTGACAAACTGCGGCACAACTGGAAAGCTGGCCGAGTAGCGCAGAAAACATGATCCTTCTTTTCAGCCTGCCCCGCTTTGTTTGGTTCGCTTCGTGTCCGCCGGCTTGATAGGCAGACCGTCCATGGCCGCCATTCTCGGCTCAGCGCCCAGCTATGAACTGGGGAAGAAAGGGGTAGGCCATGTGCCAGGCTTAGAGCCAGTCCCCTGATGTCATTGTGCCAGCGTTCAGCTTTAGTTTGCTTGGCCAGAAAAGACCACGTACCGCTTGCATGGGGCAACTCATGCCGAAAGGTCCTTGTGATGGACTTGGTGGCTTTCATTCAAAATATTTACCCGCGCTTTGCACTGTACATAAGCGATGGATGGCGCAGACCCGGATAATAGTTCCTCGCTGCTGAGCTGAATTTTCAGCTGTGCGTCCACCATAGGCTCTTGGCACATCCCTGCAGAATCCGCTTTGAGGCCTCAGTCCCGCAATGAAAGCAGAATCTGCAGGAGGCTCCGGGTACTCCCTGCTTTCCCGCGAAAGTTGGCGGGAATCTATTTCCCCTGCCAGGAGGTGTTGCATAGTTTTCCACCTAGTGGCTTATTGACCTTGTTTGGGCGACCCTAAACGGGTTCTACCAAACGTGTTCTAGGATGCAACACACATGATTGTCCTTTGGTTAAATATTGGAGCCCGCTACTTAGAACCTGCTCAGGGTCCGCAGACATGCGTTTGCCTGGTCTCTATATCTCTTGGCATCTTTCCACACGCCTGTTCATTCGCACCTTTCCAGCAAGTTTGCTAGCCATATGCCCTGCAGAGTTGCTGATAATGACTTGGGTTCTGGTATCCAGCGAGCTCTTTCCGAGGACACCTCTCCGGTCGAGACCGGCAGACGAGCCCGAAGAACACGAGGATGGCGAAATTGTGGCTTGGGTCAGAGTGGAAGGAATGAGCGTCTCCAAGCAGAGGGACCTGAGGCAAACAAACTTTAGAGCCTCTGGCTCAGTCCGCCGACATTGTCCGCTCCCTTTTCTCCTTCCTCCTCTCTCCCTTGTCTCCCTTGTGTGTTCTGTTGTCCTCTCTCCCTCCCCACCCCCCCCAAGCCTCTCTCTCCCCAATCTCCCTCTCTCGTATGTATGTATGTATGTATGTATGTATGTACATATGCATGTTTGTATGTAATGTAAGTAAGTAAGTAAGTATGTATGTATGTATGCATGTATGTATGTATGTATGTATGTAATGTATGTATGTACTGTACTGTACTGTACTGTACTGTACTGTACTGTAATGTAATGTAATGTAATGTAATGTAATGTAATGTAATGTAATGTAATGTAATGTAATGTAATGTAATGTAATGTAATGTAATGTAATGTATGTATGTATGTATGTATGTATGTATGTATGTATGTATGTATGTATGTATGTATGTATGTATGTATGTATAATGTAATGTAATGTAATGTAATGTAATGTATGTATGTATGTATGTATGTATGTATGTATGTATGTATGTATGTATGTATGTATGTATGTATGTATGTATGTATGTATGTGTATGTATGTATGTATGTATGTATGTATGTATGTATGTATGTATGTATGTATGTATGTATGTATGTATGTATGTATGTATGTATGTATGTATGTATGTATGTATGTATGTATGTATGTATGTATGTATGTATGTATGTATGTATGTATGTATGTATGTATGTATGTATGTATGTATGTATGTATGTATGTATGTATGTATGTATGTATGTATGTATGTATGTATGTATGTATGTATGTATGTATGTATGTATGTATGTATGTATGTATGTATGTATGTATGTATGTATGTATGTATGTATGTATGTATGTATGTATGTATGTATATGTATGTATGTATGTATGTATGTATGTATGTATGTATGTATGTATGTATGTATGTATGTATGTATGTATGTATGTATGTATGTATGTGTATGTATGTAATGTAATGTAATGTAATGTATGTATGTATGTATGTATGTAATGTAATGTCATGTAATGTCATGTCATGTAATGTAATGTAATGTAATGTATGCATGTATGTATCCCATTGCCTTGCAACCCCAGCATTTTCCGCAAAAAGCACGGTTTTCCTGCGTTTTCGCAAAGAGGACGACCGAAAACATTGAGTTTTTCCAGATTTTCGGCAAAAGGATGCAAGAAGCCCAAGCCAGCCAAAAAGCCGGCAGGGGGAATCGAGCCTGGGACCCCTGTTTTGCGACACCGGCTCCCCGAAGACTACGTTTAGTGGAGCGTCATCAAATTGCCGCGCGAGGGGGGGGGGGGGGCGACCGAAAAACCATGCGTATTTGACGTGTCCCGGGGGGGGACTAAGGGGGGGGTCATCCTCTATCCTCTCTTAGGTATCCAATAGTCCTCTCTTAGGTATCCGACACGCCGAACAATGTCGGCGGATTTGTGAGAACCTTCTGGCAAGGGGATGGCATGAGATTCCTTTACCAACACCAAGTACTACGCCTACTGCAGGGCGATAGTATCGCCTTCTTTGCGGGTCAGGAAGCAGGGTAGCTAGAAACTACAGTCATAGCAACTGACTGCTTTGCATGGCCTTTACATTCGCTCGTGCCGCCTGTGCTTAGCTCTTGAAGCATGGCCGCTCCTTGAAGTACGACGCATGTTTTTGTGCAACATTGATTGGAGCTAATCTTCATCAGATTTAAATTCAGCAATGTAGCAACTCTCAATTTGCGGAGTTGCTCGCCAATTTCGTTCATGGTCTTTGCCAAGTCATCCATTCCGTGTGCTCCTGGTCTACTTCACAGTGCCTTCTGGAAAAAAACCCAAAGTGGCAGTTCAGGACCATACAGGAGGAGTCATTGACTGAAGAGCCGTGGAGTAGGGTCCGCACTTGGACCCTGATTGGGAAACATCCAAAAGGCATCTCAATGGGTTCTGACAAGCGGATTCCAATTTGCAGGGCTGTGGCTGTTCAAGGTATGGCAATCCGGAGCTAGCAATCGCTCTCGGTTGGTTGACTGGAAATCTCGGACACTTATCCCAGCATCGCCCAATGTTTCACCTTTGCCTTGAGCGATAGCAGCACAGCATTAATTGGAACCGCCGGTTGGAAGCCAAGGTGCTGCCAAAGCCAAAAGGACGAGGCGCGCAAGCGGACGCCGTCTCATGGCTTTGGGAAAGGGAATGGGGGCCTGGGTTAGTTGGGGGAGTGGGATCCTGTGATTGTAGTGCTCCCTTGTGGTGTGTTTGTGTGTGTGTGTGTGTTTGTGTTGTGCGCGTGTGCAAACCTGCAACCTGAATGCGGCCCACCGGAATTCCGTTTTCCTTTTATCTTTGGAGAGGCTGCGTGTTCTTGCTCTTTGCTCACGTGTTTAGCGACCTTCGGATACAAATGGCCCCCCCTTCTGCCAGGATCGAAGCGGGCGGCGGACGCAGATGCTCCTACCACAAGTCCGACTACCGTGCGTTCACGCAGCTTCGCCAAGAGAACATGACGAAGTCCCAAGCCTTGGAGTCACTTTCAAAAAAGGAATTCCAAATGGGTCTAGGGAGAAAAATAAAACCCTCACAAGCTTTTTGGGGGCTTGACAGGCTTGTGCTGGATAGGCTGCATAGCCCCTCTCATTCCATCCCCTGGCTCCTGGGCTTTGCGCGGTCGCTTTTCCGGCGTAGCCAATCCGGCAAGTCTCGAGTTGTGTTTGTCCCAGCAATTTGACCGGCGTGCTCTCACATGTGTTTGGTCGCGCGAGATGGCGTCGACAAGTCCGGTTGGACGTGCAGTCGCTTCGTTCGTTTCCCAGGCAAGCGGCAAACGCTCACCCCGGTGGATCCAGTCAAGGATCCAGAGAAGGAAAGTGATGAGGCGCGCCGGATGTATGGCTGGGGCACTAAACCGGCTGATAGCTTCGCGCTCTGCAGGTTTCTCAATTGTCCAGCACCCTTTGGTGCTTTCCTTTTGGCGTGGTTTCATGTAAGATCAGAGACGGGGGGTCCTTTTCCTAAGTCGACCTGGCAGGTGTTGAAGTTGACAGAAAGGGGTCCCCGGATGGGTGTTCACCCGTGTCTCCTTTGTTTCCGACCTGCCAGTCGGGCTGTAACAAGGACAAGGAGATCAAGCGCCTGCAGAGCCTTCGCCAGAGAGTTGGTCTGGATGACTCAACCAGCCCATGGATCCCGTTTGAAGACCGAAGTCTGGGGTCATGTTGACTGTTTCTGGGCATTATCAAAGTCAGAAACTGGGGGTTCTTTCCCTTTAGCCTGATGGGGGGTGACTTTGCAAAATAAAATAATTGGGCCAGGAAGTGAGTTGCTTGAACAGAAGTCCCCTGAAGTGATGCCACTGCTTGGCCCCAGTAACCGGGCACCATTCCACAAAAGGTTTTCAGGGGGGGGGGGGGCAGGAAGACGCTCCACCTAACTTCGGCAGGAAGTGCTAGCAAAAACAAACAACCCGCAACTTGCAGGGACCCAGCAATGCCTCCAATTTTCACTCCAGCTTGTTCTGGGGCGGGGGCAGCTCCAACAGTGACTTCTTCCATGCAAAGGATATGTGGGAACCAAACTTTGCCATGCCCAGTGATTCCAGTGACCATGCTGGAGTGCACAGCAAACATGTTGAAACTTTCGGTCGGTGCCTGGCGAAGGGTGCCCCGCAAAAACAAGGACTTTTTGCCCCTTTTACCTCGCCAAAAAGACCGTCCAAATGCCATTCAAGCAAGCTTCCCCTATCAGCTTCAAATGGATCAGAATGCATGGCCTGCGTTTTCTTCAGGCTCCGATCCAGCTTCCGCAATGCTAGAGGACACCCAGTGTCCTACCTTACCCCAAGTTAGGAGAAGCCAGCCTCATAGTTCATGTTGGTTTCGGAAAGGCGACCTGTTGCCTCCGCTGAGGGCGGAACTCGCAGACCAGAAGAGCCAGATGCAGAATTTGGTCACCTTGGCCAAGAAAGGCCGGGTTTGCCCACCTGCCAGCCGGGGTTTTCGGCTCGAACGCCGGCGATCCCCTGCATTTCCGGCAGCCGGCTAGGTGAGAACTGGACCAAACCCGTCGAACTTGCGATGTCACGGGTCCCCTACCGATTTGCTGCAGACCAAACCGTGCACGAGTGGGCATGGGAGAAGTACATGGCAAAGCTCACTTGCCCAAAGCCGACCTTTTAACCTTTTGGTTTTCCAATTTTGGTCCGTTTTTAGTCATGGTCCCAAAAGGTTAAGCTTTTAATTCCTGATCTGTTGGGCAATTGAGAAAAGCATGGTGCAGGCACATTGTTTCAATACCACCTGACTGGACTTCCAAGCAACTCAACGCATTCGAGTCGAACGTTTCTTTGAAGGTTGGGCGTGATGCTTGCTTGTGTCTGGCCGGTGCAACACACATGTAGATGCAGGTAGGGCCAACCAGCGAAATGGGAAGAAACTGTTTAAAGCCAGGGTTTGGGCCTGAACGACGACCAAGGTGTGGTTGGTTGATTTCCCATCTTAGCCAGTTTTGTCTAAGGTTCCAAAAGGGTCCCTCCTGGCCGGCCAGGCACCGAGTGAAGGTGTCTCAGGGCCCAGCCTCCGCAGGCCGACTGATGTTGTGTCAAAGCCTCGTGGAGATCGCCAAGATGGAGCGAGCCACTGGGGAAGAACCGAGGGGCTGAGGGTCCCAAAAGGTTTGTCTTGACGGGGACGAAATGGGCCGGTGTGAAAGGGCTAGCCCGAAGGGTCCCAAAAGCTGACTGGTTGAGAGGTGGTCCTCAATCCCACAGTTGTGAGTTGCAAAAGGGATCCGCCTTGTCTTCCCTTTGCAGATTATGGATTGGGAATGGCCCGACCTCGATGTCTGAAAGGCCAGCTGATTTAAAGGATGCCCTCGTAAATCAGCTGGTGTTTGGATGTGTCGTTTCAGGAGCATTGCAAAATGATTGCTATTGTTTGGGACTTGTTTGTTATTGCTCGCAAATGTTGTTTTAGGTCGGGCGGGGCACAGCGAGAGCGGAGGTAGGCGTCATTGCTTTCCAGACTTGTTATTGGATGTTCATCATGTCCAAACCAGGCTGCACAGATTTGGGTTCCTTTCCAGGTGTTGCACCTGGATAAGCCTGGATGTGCCAACTGTGCAGTTTTGCTGCTTGTCATCCACATTTGCTGCTTTGGAAAGCTGTGGCCCTTCAGTTTGCCGGAATGGGCTGAGTTGAACGTGGTCAGCCATTTCTAGGAGTTCGGAAATCGACTACTGGCTTGCCAAGGCGAGGGGTTTGTGCCCTTTGAGTGGCCATCTCAGGACAAGGCGAGAACTCGCCTCTTTCATGAGGGAGCTAGAGCGACTTGGCAACCGCGTTGCCTGCCACAATGTGCAGATGATTGTGCCACGTGCGCAAATGGACATGCAGCAAGCTTTGCGACATGATTACATGAGAATGGTAGCGAAGCGGGAGGGCTCAGAAGTTTCATCTTGCACCTTTTCAATGAGGTTCTGCGCTTGCAATGCACACGCGATTGCTTGCTGCCTTTGAATTATCCATGAGTCAAAGGTTGCCAGGTTGCCAATCTTGACCCTTCCCCCGAGCCAACATGCCATTCCCAAAGTCTCTGATTCTCATCGATTTCCGCTCTCGCATCGATCCCGTGCGCTTCGCTGCCGTGAGGTGGGGAAGTACAGGGCCTCCCTGGCTTTTGGGCAAGCCGACAGCTGGGAGGGGGGCTCGGAGGCGGAGGCCATTGAGCAGCTCAAGTCCAAGCTCCGCCAGGTCCGCTCGAAGCCGGGGTTTCCTTTGGGGGACTCCAGGATCCAAATCCTTGGTGTTTGATAGCGCACGTAACATTCGACATGTTGCATGCAATTAGGTGTGAGTACCTATGCGCGCCCTGTCCAAAAAAACGTTATTTTGGCGGTAGTATGTGCCCCCAATCTCCTGTCATTATGTACCCCTTGCGAAGCGCCTGTGCGGTTGATGTATATGCCCACCCGTGCAAAGACAGCTGTCAGTGTCTCTCCGCAGACGAGGGTAGGATTTGGGTCCCTAAAGGAAAGTCAGCGATCATGAACCAATTCTCTGAGACAATAATATACCATCGTATTTCCGGCGGGCTTTGCATAAGGGGCAAAGGGCAATCCGCGTCAGAACGGTTCCTTAAAGGTTACATCCTGCATAGGTATTCATCATGCTTGTGCAAAGGCAAGCACGGCAGCACAAAACAATATGAAACATCTGAGATTCTCTCCTTCACCGTTCCCACCATCTGTTTCTTGCACAGGAATGTCAGCTCTAGAAGTCGGCTTCCCTTGTCCTGAACCCAATTCCTGAGTTCTTGGACCTTTACTTTGTTTCTAGACTACCATTATTCCATCGGCGAAGAAGAATTTTGGGCTTTGTTGGCGCATCCACGCGGGACGTGGGTTAACGAAGCAACAAAGCAAGACTTCAGAGCAATGAAACTGATGCAGTTGAATCGGAGACATGTGGTCAGGAGCGCGACTGCGTGGCCTCGGTACGGAAGTCCTTGATCAAGGAGTCCAAAAACAAGGCAGGATGGAAGAGCTTGGTGGGCTCGTGGATCCTCAAACCTGGGTATGTGTCACATGTTCCTTTGGTTTCCCCAAAGTGCAAAGGGTACTCACATTCGGTGCAATGGTGGGGATCAATAAGCATTTTTCGCTGACCTGGGCGTCTCAAGGCCGAAGACCCAACGTCAGTCCTGTGAACTCCGGCCAACCAAGCGAAGGCGAGCCCCCGGCTGTAATCGATTGTCCTAGGTGCCCTTCCTGGATAGAAATCCTCTACCGGCTGAACTTAATTGAATTTTTTGAAAGCATCCCATCGTACCAGCGATCCTTGAAAGATACCATGCTTAGCTGGGCGAACTCACACACCGCCACTCGGGAACCCTTGGCGAGGTTCCCGCCAGTTTTCACACTCGGTAGTAGCAGACTTGGGTGCAGCATGCCCCGGCAAAAAGCATACTGTTAATGCAGTTGGTGAGTGTTGCATTCATTGGGGATATTTGTGGAGGCAGGGCACGCCCAACTTTACGCGGGGACACAAACCCGCTATCTTCCCAAGTCGTGGTGAGTGAGTCAATCGTCCCTGGCTCATGCGCGCGCGCAGATTGTGGAGACGGAAGCCGAAGACGCTGCCACCGATGATCCCGATGATCTCTTGGAGATGCGCGAGGTTTGCAACTATCGGGCCGAGTACATCAGGCCATATCAGAGGCATTCTTTGTATGGCAAATGATGCCGCTGGCAAGTTGTAGCAGTTTGGCTAGGGGGGCACCGCTTCTTTCATTGCATTGGTGCTGAACCATTGAAAGTTAGTGTGTATCCCCTCCAACCAAAGCAATACTAAAAGAGTTTTGGTGGTCCTTTAAGAGATGGGATATTTATACATACATATATATATATATATACATATTGTTAACGTACAGTTTCGTTGGCTTCAAGTTGTTCAGTGGCCCTCCCTTGTTGCTCGGGTTCCGCATGAAATGAACCAAACAGGTCAGTGCTCGCCGGGAGCGCGCACCGACCCGCGCCATCGCAACTGCGCGGTAGGCGCGAGGAGTCGGCCATCAAGGAGCGGGAAGTGCGGCTCATGGCGGCGCGGGCCTCGACGGACGTGAGTTGAGTCAGGAATGTGTTGTCAGGTTACCAACTGAGTTGGGTTGGGTTGGGTTGGGAAGTTTGACACATGGATTGTATGACACGTTAGGTCAGTTTGAACTGGTGGCTTGGTTTGGGGATTTGAAGCCCTGGTTGTTGCAGAGGGCAAATGGGAACCCACACGGAAGTCTAGCAATCTTGTCCGAACGCCATGCTGACTGCGGGTTCCCTTATCAAAAAGCGAAGGCAAGCCCCTCAAGCTTTCCATTGGGAAAGCACTTCCCAAATACGAAGATTCCTCTGGCTATGACTTTATTGACCCTGGTTGCCCAGTTCGGATTGGCCAGCCATTTGGAATATGTCGGAGTGGCCCTTCCGTTGCGCGACTGTGTTTTGAAGTGCCCATGGTTTGCCTGCCCCATCCGCCAGTGACACACGTGTCTAACGGCCGAATCCTCCTGACAATGCGTGCACTGACTTCAGTTTTGATGTTGACCCCGGATGAATACACCCCCGGTTGACTCCAAGGGGTGTCCCCTTTCAGTGGGGATCCTTCACTTTCTTGGGCAACAGAGCCATGGGTGCCATTCGAGCCAAGGACCGAACCCTGTTTCAGAAGCAGCGGATGCTGGTGAACGCCGAAGACCGCTCGCGGTTTAGACACTATCCGATCTTGAAGGCGCCGAAGGGTGAGGGCGAGGCGAAGGTTTGCGGGATTGCGCTGGAGGTGTGCCAGACGAGGTTTGGGAACTGGATGGTTTTCAGCTTGGTAGTGACATATATGTATATATAGATATGTATATATGTATATATATATATATACATATGTGCCAGGGCAAGTTCTCCCGTTTTCCAAAGAGGGGCGCGTCATGCGTTGCGGCAGCCGGCTGCAGGACAGGTTTCAGCTCCTGAACATGATCGGCAAGGGAGGCTTCAGCGAAATCTACAAAGCCTTCGACCTGGATCAGATGTGTCGCTCGCATTGCATCGAAGCTCTTTTGCCCAACGGCTTCACAAGTAGCACCAGCTGTTAAGGTCAGAAGGGTAAAATAAATGGGAAGTGGGGCAGCATGTCCTGAATGCGCAACGTGAGACATGGAAGCGTTGCAATCCATGCTGATCCTTGTTTCTTGGACAATGTGACTGAAGACGCAATAGTTATGCGCCCTAAAAGGTTGACTATTGTCCCAAAATGGGAACAACAACTCTGTTCCCATCCGAAGGCCATTCTCAAGCGACCAGTTTCAGGCATGTGTGCCATCAAGATCAATGAGATCGAGGCGAAGATGTCAGAGACGCAGCGAGCCGACTTGGTGCGCTGGGCCTTGCGAGAATGTGAGATCCAGAAGAGCCTGCAGAACCCTCGCGGCTTTGCCCGCAAATATAGCAGGTGGGTGTGTCTCATTCAAATTGGACCCACTTTGGGTGTCCTTTTGGTCTCGCTTCAAATCCCAAAAAGCCACAGCAAGCCTGTGCTTGAACGCAATGTGCGTACTGCAGATTTGGCAGGATCTTAGTGACTCTTTGGGTGTGTTTGTTTAGGAAGCCCTTTTTTCGGCAAACGAAACAAAAGCCAAGCGCTTTGTGGGTTTCCCTATTTGGACGCAACAGAGGTATCAAATTGAAAGGGAAATGCACCCCTTAGTGAACAGCGTTTCTGCCCGCAGACTACTTCAGGATGGAACAACTCCTTTTGGCTTTGCTGAAAACAACCAATATAGTCACCCTAAAAGACAATGCATGCGCTTTTCCCCTGGAGAAAGCACACATAGCGCGCGATGGGCCATTTTGAAGAACCCTTGGACCGAGGGGGTCCTTAGGGGGGGTCTACGGGTCGCAAATCAAACTACCGCGTGATCATAGGGCCGCAATGACCCCGCTCTTCCCTGCAAAGGCCGAAGGGCAATCATGCAGTATTTGGCTCGCTTCGGCACAGTAGTTGGTACTGTTTGTTCTTTCCTGCCCTGTCCCGGTGCTCATCAGTTCGGCCAGCCCTGACGACCTGCCCTGATGGCGGAAGTTCAAGCTGTGCCCTTTGCAGTTCCCTTCGAATTAGCTTTGGGATGTCATTGCCTTTGCTGGAGCGAAGGCCCTCTCACCTTGTTTTTCGAAGGTAAGGGACGTCCAGAGTTCGATTGGACTGCGGCTCGTTCCAAGGCATTGTACAGCTTCGCGAATGCTTCGCTTTAGACAGTCATGCCTTCGTTATCGTTCTGGAGCTCTGTGAAGGACTGGCCGTGTGGTGCGCTGAAAGGTGGGAGGACGCGCTGATTTCCCAAAGAGGTTGTTAGTTTGCTTGTTGAGCTTTTCGGGGAATAGAGGGCCCCGCACGAGAGTTTCCACAGGCCAAACCCAATGCAGCTCACGGGGCGTGCAGAGTTGGCAAGACCCCTGTGGCCATCTTTGGGGCCATTATCATGTGCCATTTTCAGATTTACGTATAAAGAACTCAATGCCCTTTTTGTCTCGGACACTGGCTGAACTCACAATGGCCTTCTTGCCAGCCTTTGCCGAACTGCAGATGTGAAACTTGGTTGCAGCTGTTTCAGCTATGCGGCGCAGTTGTTGATGTGCCAAAGGCAGAGAACATTCCTGATTGCCAGCGTTTCTCCTGGGCTCCAGGAGAAACGCTGGATTTGCGCTTGAAGATGCAAGGGCCGCTGCAAGAGAAAGAGGCCAAGACGATCATGGTGCAGATCCTGTCACTTGAACGAAATACCTTTGGAAGGAATCAGCACGAGAACTGCAAGGCATTGTGAGGCACCAGCAGGATCAGGATTGATAGAAGTCATGGAAATCATAGCACATGCAGACCACAAATCTACCAGAATGGGCACAACACTCATCCCACCGCGAGCGGCGAAAGCGAGCGGCCAGGGCAATCAGCTGAAACAAGCAGACCACCCAAGAAGAATCACACAGAATACATAGACAGCAAACCGCCACAGAACCCAGGCCCTAACGCATGTGGAGACACTGTCGCGCGGAACGCGGACACAGCGAAAGCTGCTCATGACAACCGCAATGGCACTTTTTCTAACACATGCAGTGCCGCCGCCGGCGACGCAAGCAGAACTGGCAGCAAGCGAGTGATCCATACTGCGCCGCTGAGGCTCTTGGGGTATATGTGTATCTTGGAACAGTTGCAGCACCCCGATTGATTTGGCGGTCCACGTCGAACTGGACAAATGACATGTTTTTCGTGTCTTTTCACACGGATCATTGGAACGATTTCAGTATGGACAATTTATATGAGTCATGAGTGTCAAGAAAGCAGCTTGGGGAGTTGAATTTCCAGCTGATGCACTCACTCAAGGCAAGTGTGTGCCTAGGAATGGACTACGGTACCTGAACATTTGCGGCCGGAAGATCATCCACTACGACATTAAGCCCTCCAACGTGTTTTATCATGCCGGGCAGGCGAGTGTTGTCGGATTTCTTTTGCTTGCCCTGAGGCTGCAGGGGTCCAAAAACCTCCGTTTGGCTGTGAATTTTCATGGACTCCCCTCACAAATGGTTGATGACCCTGTAAACGGTGTCCACAAAAATGTTCCCAACTAAGATGTATTCCCATCGAACATGCGGACGCTGCTGGGACCTTCCTCTTGAACTGCTCATGCATGGCTACATGAGATCAGGACTGGTAACAGTCAATAAGTTATTTGTTTTGGTTTCTCTCACAAGGACACCGCGATGGGATTGCTTGTCCTTTTTCCAAGCCTGTTCAACACACGAGTTCAAGAAGGCTTGCGCAGAGAGTTTCAAAGACACCGCGGAGTCGCCAAAGGTGAAGATCGGGGACTTCGGCCTTTCAAAGATGGCGGATCACAGCGCGAACCTCGGGGCCGAGACCGAGACGAGAGATGGCACGAACACGTGGCGATTTGCTTCGTTTGAACAATCGTGGGAAATGTGCACGGAACCCAAAAGGGCCCCTGCCGCACAAAAATCAGAAATCTGGAAATTCCTCTTCGAATGATGTGTGCGGTCCCAATTCATCTATCATGCGGGAACGTGCTGCCTTGTTCTGGAGCGACCAGGCACTTGCATGCGACTTTACAGCATGTCCTGTCGTGACGTGTGTGTGTGTGTGTGCATGTGCGTGCCGCAGAAACTAAAAAAGTATCAAATGAACATATGAGCCTGCGTGTTCTGCACATCAAAACGCTTGCTGGGGTGCCACGGTAGCTCTGTGCTCAGGATGTTGGATGTGAAATGCGTTGCTCAAGTTGTTGGACATATATGCCAGGAGTGACGCACATTCTGTCGACCAGCCCTTCATCATTTGAAAGATGTGTCAAAGCCAAGTGTCCTTTGGAACTACCACCTCGAGCAACTAACCTAGATGCCTTGAGTAGTGGAAACCTAATCCATCACATCCAGCCGGCTTATGGAAGCTTTGGCAAAGCTGCGTTTGGGTTTGGGTCAAAAAGGTAATCATTTGGGCAGAGTTCTGGGTCACTTTTGGTTGGGCCCCCAAAGCTCTTGGCACAGGTGTACGCAACAAGATGCGGGAATGCCCCGCATCGAATCCAGGCCCGGAGGGGGTCATCGATTTGTCCACGATGGGCGCGGGCACCTCCTGGTACCTGCCGCCCGAGTGCCACGAGACGGCATCACCGACCATCAACAGCCCCGCGCCAAGTTGGGACTTACGGATCGATTCGCTTGACATTCCCTAAAGCAAAGAGGTGTGACAAGGGTCCTCCTATCATGTGATTCGGATTCAGATTCCTCCTACTTTGGGCAGCCGGAACCGTTATATTTCCACAATTCGCTCCAACCACCAGCAAATTTACAGCTGCCTGTTCGTTGCTGAACAAACCCTTGCGCGATGTTGGAAGAACTAGGGCAGGGACAAGTTTGGGGAATTTGTCTAGGTTGCTGTTAGCAGCCTTCATGGCAAGTGCCTGGCTTGCGCGTGAAGCTGCTTGGTGAAATATAGGATGCGACACCATTGCAGAGGTTGGGACTGCCCACGATGCCCTGTTGCGAGGCGTAGAAGAAGCCCATTCACATGGCCATCAAATTTAGACCTGTGTATCACTTCTATTTGCTTATGAATATGTCTTATTATCTCAATACTTTCATTTTTTCCCCATGGGCTTGGGCAATTGGAAGAGCAGCATGATTTGTAGGCCCATTGGTGGCTCCAACATGTCGGCGTGGCAACATCAATGTGTTGATAGAGACTCGCCAAGAAAAAAGTTTGTCCGGATATAGCCCATCGAAACGGTGTGCGTTGGGTTCCGAATCAAAATTAACATGTAAGTGAACATGGTAAAAACACGTAAATCAACATAAATCTAATGTATATAGATAGGCTGTGGATATTGCGGAAAGGCGAGCAAAGGCAAAAGGAAAAGTCTCCATTATGCCAATCCAACAGCCGCAAATGCCCACACACTGGGCACGACCCATGTTGGACATCCGTTTTCGCTGCATTCAGGTAAAGTCGACGTCGGCACCTCAGTCTGTGGAGTCCCGTACGCGCGTGCCCGCGAGACGCCAACTGCCACTTGCGAGCCTTAGGTCTGGAGCACTGGGGTGGTTTTCTATGCGCCTGGGATGCATTTGAGAAGTACACTCGTGTTGTAACCTGGACTTTGTTGTTTTAAACAGGTCAGCAGACTCCTGGCTGGTCGGTTCTTGGTGAGATTGTTTAAGGGCAAATCCTGACTTGCCAGCAGGCCACTCATACCAAGCCTTTAGCACTGCAATTCCATTCTCAGCTGAGAAGATGATCCTTGGTTGTACGAGCAGTGTTGGAGTGGTACAGGAGGTGTCCGATTTACAGGATACCTGAAGCATCTTTCAGCAATGTTCAACCTTGTGGGACAATCGACCGGATAATCAAGTTCAACATGTGCCCTTCACTCCTTCGAATTGCAAGCCCGCAAGCCATGTCGCACTTGGACTCAGCGGTGACACAACGCGGCAGCTAAGCCCATCAAATTTGAACACGCCTGTCAGATGGGGTCAGTTTAGCAAAGCTGGTCCTTGCTCCTTGTTCGGTGCTTCATGCAAGCTGCCCTCAGGAGCTTCTATTTAACCGCCGCCCTTTTGGAGAGGGACAGACACAGGACCGATGGGTGGCGCCCTTCTGGCACGACTTGTCACAGTTTGTTTTGGTTGCCACCGGGCAAACGGGCAGCGAAGTGGATTTAGCGGTGCCACCGGCATCACTGCGTGACCAAGCCAAAGTTTATAAACCAGCATTCTGCACAGTTGGTCATAACAAGCCATTTGCTCAAAGTTGAATTGATCGTAGTCACTTATGCAAACCCCGCAGGATGCGTTTCGACGGCAAACCGCGTGCGAAGGCACCTTTGATTTGGCCCCGCGGCCAAAGGGAAATGGGCGATGGGCGAATCGGCGAGTTCCACTACTGTTTTCGGGGGTAAAGGGAGCGGATTGCCAGTGAATTTCAGCATTTGCAGAAAATTGAATTGTTGGATCGCTTTGTGTTGTTAAGGTTGGTGAGCGAAGTTGCAGGAGAAGCGTTGCGAAAACTTTCAAGATCAAGATCTTTGCTTGAATCACTCAGACCTTTTGATTGTTCAGGCCTTGGTAGACTTGGAGTGGCAAAATTGAAAGGGCAAGTGACCCTTGCGGAGGTGGCTCCCGGACTTGGTTTGGTGTTTCATGGAATCGTGGCATTCGTTCAAGGCTAAGTAACCTGACTTGGGTTCGTCACGAGCACAGGCTCCAATCAATTACAACTGTCCAAAGGGTCCAAAAGGACAAGACCTGGGCAACGCCATGAGGTCATTCCAACATCGCCGAAGGTGTCGGTGGAGGCCAAGGAATTCTTGCGCGCCTCGGACGCGAAGTCCCCAAAACCATTCGGGCTCGGCTCACCCGGGTTTCGCGTTTGGGAAGCATGGGTTTAAGTATCAAAAGACAGGAACCCTGTGTCTGAGTACACATTGCACCTGCGGGAACAAGACCGCGCTCCAGCTTTCGCACGGGAGACGCGAGGGGTCATTCCTTAGGAAAGAGGGTCGGGCCTAACTGTGGTTACAGATGGGTTTGGGCGTACGGCTTTGGTTCCATGTGCCATGCCAAGCCCATAAGGTAAGCTGCTCACCAGAGATCGGGAGCAGAGGCCAGATGTGCTGGAGGCCTTAGCAGACCCGTACATCCGGAAGTCTTGGCCTGACACGGCACAACGCAAGGGAAGGTAACTCATGGCCAGCCCAAGCTACATGCTTTTCCGCTTGGGACAGCCTATGAGCTTCCCGGTTCCCCCCTCTTCTCTGGAAAAGCAGAAGTGTTCGCTTAGTCGCAAGTTTATCAACAAACGGACTCAGAGGAGAGAGGTTGCTCTTTCCGAATTCACTCGGCATGCAGGGCAAGTCCATGAGAGCGTTTGCCTCAGATTCTTGCCTCAGCACATCAGGTTGTGTGCAGTTTTCAGATGCCCCTGCAATTTGTGTGTTGATTGAACCTGTCGTGGTCCATTGTCTCCAGCACTTGCATGTGTTCCCTCTTTGTTGGGTGGAATTGGAATTGCCCCGATTCAAAAGCTGGGCTATGGCTTTTGGAGTACCTGGCTGCCAAATCGTATTGCCGGTGCGCCGCCGGCTGCGGGCCTGCGGCGCGAGGCAACGGTTGGCCACAGGCTGGCCAGTTTCCATGACTGTTTGCCGAATTCCAATCCCAACGGGGGTGCCACCCCGGCGGGGGGGGCGTGGGTGGCTAACCAGATTTCAACTAGCTTCATTAGTACTCGCCTGAACATGCCGAGCATGAAAAATGTGTGTGAGGATTGGGGCTAAGCAACGCAAACATTTTCAATTCGGTGGCTGGCCTGTGGAATTTGTCAATGTTATGATTGTCGATACCGGTTTATTAAGTGTAAAATTGAACCAGAAGCCGGCATTTCGCATGGAGTCGGCGAAGCCAGTGTCGGAAGTGTCTAGAACTGTTAAAGCCTATATGGCCCTCAGAGAATGCGGTACCAAAAACCTGATAGAAGCCACGAACCCGAATGTGGACATTTCAATCTCACGCGCGATGCAGTTCTTGGCTTCTTCGTCCGTCATGGCATCTGGCAAAGCAAAGGCTCGGTTAGCCATGAAGACCGGCCCGTCCTTGCGGAACTTCACGGCGCCGACTGCCAGTCGGGTCTGGTTCTGGACGTTGAAAGAGAACATGTCGGGCAAAGTCGCAAGCGCTTCCAAGCGAAACTCATCTCTGTCTTCGTCCAACAAAGACTTCACCTTTTCGTGCGACACAAGGATCGTTTGATTGTCCAGCTCCGGTCAGCTGCCTGAATCAGCATGCACACGTGGGACGGCATGCAGCCACAGTTGCACTTTTGGACCAGCAGGCGTTTCCTTTTGCGACGCAATGCTCGGGATGGCGGGGGGTCCAACAAGCGCGCGCAGACTCTCCCTCTCTCCCTCTCTCCCTCTCTCCCTCTCTCCCTCTCCTCTCTCCCTCTCCTCCGTTAAAATCGGTTGCTCTCTCCCTCTCTCCCTCTCTCCCTCTCTCCTCTCTCCCTCTCTCCCTCTCTCCCTCTCTCCCTCTCCTCCGTTAAAATCGGTTGCTACTTTTACTTACAAGTGCAAGTGCTGTAGCGTTCAAACAAACAGTCAACCAATATAGTCTGCAGCTGCCAACCTTTTGATTCATGCGATGTAGTGAGCTCAAGGCCTGCAGTTGTGAACATACATGCAACACAAATGCAGGAAGTGAAGCATGTAGTTTGACACGGCCCCTCAGTTAAAAGGTCTTTATAATACCTAGATTGATGGTAATGATGAAAACCACTGTTGTTCATCAATTCTACTGTAATGGCAAAAGGTAGTAACCTGCACTCAGTAGTGCACGCTGTTCATGTTCTAGCTCGATGTAGTGGCGCCGCATGGAATTCGTGAGGCAGTTATTCATTGTAGTAGAGTAGGAGCTCAAGCATGTAGCGCCCAGTTCTGGGCGCGGTAGGCTTGGACAATCTGTAGTCGACTGTCCAAGGTCGCGTAGTAATGGGTGGTGCAAAAGGTTTGGAGCGCCTGGTAGTCTCTCATCGTCTTTCTCAGGGCATGACATATGTTGGTCGTAATCCCTCAGGAAACGATGTAGTAGTGCTTTGTGGTGTTGGGTAAGGTTGGTCATGGTAAGTAGTGTAAAGCCATAGTATTGGATGCTTTTGCAAAGGATGGTAGTGATGGCCGTGTGTTGAAAGTCGTGTAGTGAAACGGGGCGCATGCAGACATGTAAAACAAAACAACTGTAGTGTTGACTCAGCCGCCAAAAGTGCAAGTGAAAACATATGCAGTTGCTGTTACTTACATAACAAAGGTGTCGTATGACATGTGGCTACTTATATACAAGAAATGTCCAAAGTTGTTGTTGTTGTTGTTGTTGTTGTTGTTGTTGTTGTTGTTGTTGTTGTTGTTGTTGTTGTTGTTGTTGTTGTTGTTGTTGTTGTTGTTGTTGTTGAAATTGTTGTGCTGGTCGTTCGTAGTGCTAAATGCGTATCCCAATGCTCTGGATGAGCCTGTGTGGTGTTTCCCGGCCGATGTTTTTTGTAAACAAATCTGCGCTGTTGTGAAGTGTGATGATGTTGTGTTTGATGAGGTCTTGTGTGTAGAGAAATTTGAGGTCAATGTGCTTCGCTCGTTTGCTAGTGCCTTCTTGTGTAGCAATGCTGTTGCTTGCTGTGGAGTTCGTGTGGATGCGTAGGTTCAGTTTACTGCAAATGTTGGTTTCAAGTAGGAAGTTTCTGAGGTGTAGTCCCTCCCTCATTAACTCCTGTGCAAATGGCGTAGAGTTTAGACTCTGCTGAGCTCAGTGCTATTGTAGCTTGCGTTCTGCTGCCAAATGCAACTGTTGTTCCTAAAAAGAGCATGTTGAAACTTGAAGTTGATTTCCTGGTAGTAGGGCATCCTGCCCAGTCGGCATCGACATGAACGTCGAGATCCAGGATGTTGTTGGTGTTTGCTATGGTTAATTTCTAGTGCTTGGTGCCGTGCAAGTAGCGTAGTAAATGTTTGATTTTTTTTTCTGTGAAAGTTCTGTAGGTGCTGCGAGGTCTCGTGCCAGTTCTTTTGTAGAGTATGCGATGTCCGGTCGTGTGTATGCTAATTATTGAAGTTTGCCAACAATCCTTCTGTACTTTTTGTGTTGTTCGTGGTCAAGAAGTGCTTTATCCTCTACTGTTTGTTTGTAGTTGGCGATTCCTGGAGTGGTCACTGTGTCATAGTTCCAGACCCCTCGATCATGTTGTCGATGTAGGAGTCCTTTAGTCCAAGGTTGCAGTAGTTGTCGAAGTGGTCGATATTTCTTCCAAGAAATTGTTGTGGTTTGCCAGGTTCGAGGTAAAGTTGGGCAAGACAACGACAGTAGATCACGGAGGCCGCGGACGGCGGCGCCCGGGCTCGCACGGGGGCGGATGGAGCCGTCGTGCTGAACTTGCGGCGCGGCCCGGGGGCCTACGCGCTGCTCTCGCGCGCGGACGGCAGCTGACCCGGGCGGGCCAGCACTACTACTCTCACCTGGGCCTGCGGCCTCCCAGCAGGGACTTCGACTACAACTAGCCCCTCATCCGCGAGGGGCCCAACGACTACATCCTGCTGCGCAACGGGCGGAAGAAGCTTGTGCGCTCCTTGTAGGGCGGAGAGCACCGGCTGACCAAGCTGGGCAAGAGCTTCTTCCGCGACAAGTACTACGAGTACCTGGTCCACGTGCCGGTGATCATCCGGGGCAAGAGGCGCAGCGGGCGGAACGCGGGGGCGGGGCTACGAGCGCAGGGACTGGTTGTGGTGAACGAGCTGGGCGGCGTTATGACGAGGCACCCGGCCCACCTCACGGAGGAGCAGGTGGCGCAGCGAGTGAAACAACAAGTGGAGGCCTCGCTCGGCGACCCGCCGGCCCCATCCTGCAGCTCTCGGACAAGACCTACTTCCTTGACCCTGAGGGGCTGGGTGGTCAACACCCAGAGCACGCAATATCGGAACTGCAGGACTGAGGTGGGGGGAGACGCTCCTGCGTCAGTGCATGAGGGGCCTGAGGAACGTGAGCTTCCAGCTCCCTGTGAGGAGGACGTGCTGCAGAGCGCCTTTGAGGACAAGCCGCTCTGCGTGCACCGGCAGCTGGCCGAGCTGCTGCAGCTGAGCGTGGAGGAGGTGTGTGCCGACTTTGACGCCATGTTTGCGCCACGACTGGAGACGCCTCGGCATCTCCGCCGAGGAGGTGCGCGAGTTCTGCGTATGGCGCAACGCGCCGATGCGCGTGCTGAGCTCGGGCGACCTCGTGGACAGCTACGACCCGGCGCTGAAGGAGCGCCGCACCGTGTACTTCTTGGCCTTTGACGGGCACTGCTACATGTATAGGGCCGTGAAGCGGCTCGTGGAGGCGCTTTGATGCCGCGGACGTGCAGCCGGGCCTGTTCTGGTGGAGGACCTGGGCGAAGCGAGACGCCAGCTTATGGCCGTCGGCGAGAGCCCCAAGGTGGCCATCAGCAGCCCGGCGCAATACTACGGGCTGAGGTTAAGGCGGGGCACCAGGATCCGAGAGCTGCCGGAGGAGCACGAGGTGCTGTGGAGGTGGTGCGAGGCGCTGGGATAGGAGTACCGGGGCCAGCGCCTGACCGGGCTGGTGTACGAGATCTTCCTGAAGCTGCTGAAAACGAAACGAGAGGCGCCCGGCGCGGCGGAGAGGCAGAAGACCCTGGCCGTGCAGACGGCAAGTGCGCCCTGTGCGGTTGCGGGCTGATGGCAGGCACCTGCGAGCTGGACCACGTGGTGTCGGTGCGGCAGGCCTCTGCGGGCAGCGCGCAGACTCTGCAGGCGCTGTACGGCGACTGCCACAGCGAGAAGACACTGAGAGAGAGCGCGTAGCCCACCAGCCTGGAGAGCCGCATGGCGCCCGGAGTCATGGAGTTCGCTCGGAGCCCCAAGCTGCCTCCCTTCGTTTTTGAGGCGCAGGCGTGCGCATGCCAGAAGGACGCTCGTACGTCGGCGTGGACGTGGTGCGCTGCAGGCGCAACGGGCTGGCCAACGCCCCTTTCCCCCTACCTATCCTGTGCTCGGCGGCGTTGAGCCCGTGGAGTGCTGCCGGACCTGGGCTTTGTGGAGGGTTGCGACGCGAGGCAGTCCTGCCTCAATCTGTTGCCGTACGTGGGGCCCGGCTGATACCCGAAGGTTTCGCTGGCCGCGATGTTTGGATTTGGGCGTCTGCCGTAAAGTTGAGCTTTTGTAACACTTCAACCAGGCAATTTTGCCATGCGTTTTGTGAACTGCATAGTCTATACATGGTTTTC